CATAGCCACAGGTCTTTCGACTCTCTCAATCGACGACCTAGAACAATCTTTTCTGTCTCTCTTGACTTTTACGGTTCTTTGAGCCGAATCACGAGCCATTGCCCACAATGACTGTCTTTATCTGCTCTCTGTAAGTAAACATGGCTGCAATGGCAACGGATTGCATGCTGCTGCTCTTGTTCCCACTGCCCTTGTTCGTTTCTTTGTCAGCTGCTGCTGTGACATATTCTGCGGCACAGGGCTAATGCACGTCATCTGCTTCTTCTCCCCTCGTACAGATTCCTCCCCAAAACCATCCAATTCAACCTCCCGGGCAACGCTCGCCGCCGACACACAATCTCGAAGCGCCAACGGGCCTTTGCGCCAGAACAGCCCTCGGTGGTGCCCGCCATCGATGTCACGCCCAGTCTCTTCACCCGGCAGCCAGACATCACCCCTCCTCATACCCCGGTCGACGAACCCACTACGCCCGATCCATTCGCCAACGAAGATGGCTTCCGCATCCAATTCCCGCACAGCGACAACTCGCCCACCGACAAGGGCTCCAAGTCCTGGGGCGGCCGCGCTGACCAGCCCAAGTCGCGCGCAAACACGCCGCCGCCGGCCGACATCTTCGAGAGCCGCCGGACGCTGCAAAAGGCAAAGGAGCTGGGCCGTCGCGGCATTGTCAAGCCCAGGGCTCTGATGCGCAGCGAGAGCCACGACAAGGTCTTTGCTTCGGCTCAATGGCGTGTGGTCAACGCCGACCAGGGCAATGGCGGTCTTCGCAACGCCGCCATGGCCGCTGCCCGTGATGGAAAGCTGACCGACTACACTTGGGTCGGCACACTCGGTATGCCCACTGATGCCCTCGAGGGCACCCAGCAGAAGCAGGACATTGAAGATACCTTGGCCACTCAGCACGACATGCTGCCCGTCTTCTGCTCTGACAAGGACTTTGATGGCCACTACAGCCACTTCTGCAAGCAGATGCTGTGGCCTGTCTTCCACTACCAGATCCCCGACAACCCCAAGAGCAAGGCATACGAGGATCACTCGTGGAAATACTACGTCAAGGTCAACCAGGCCTTTGCCGACAAGATTGTTCAGAACTGGAAGCGCGGCGATGTCATCTGGGTCCACGACTACCACCTCTTGCTCGTGCCTGGCATGATCCGCAAGAAGCTGCCCGAGGCCAAGATTGGCTTCTTCCTGCACGTTGCCTTTCCCTCGTCCGAAGTCTTCCGCTGTCTTGCTGTTCGCAAGGAGCTCCTCGAAGGCATGCTGGGAGCCAACCTGATTGGTTTCCAGATCCAAGAATACACACGGCACTTTTTGCTTACTTGCAGCCGCATCCTAACTGTCGAGGCAACACCGGAAGGCATACAGATGGAAGACCGCTTCGTTGACGTTGTGCATCTCGCCATTGGCATTGACCCCGTCAGCCTGAACAAGCACCGTGCCGAGCCAGAGGTCATGAAGTGGTTGTCTGTCATGCGAGAGCGCTATCAAGGCAAGAGGCTCATTGTTGCGCGAGACAAGCTCGACCATGTTCGAGGAGTCAGACAAAAGTTGTTGGCATACGAACTGTTCCTGAATAAGAATCCGGAATGGCGTGAGAACACTGTTCTGATTCAAGTGGCCCTCTCATCGGGCGAGCCTAGTGAGCTCGATGCTGCCGTCTCCGACATTGTTACGCGTGTCAACTCGTCGTGGGCAAATCTGGCTTATCAGCCCGTGGTTTATCTCAAGCAGGACATCGACTACGCCCAGTACCTCGCTCTTCTTTCCATCGCCGACGCGCTCATGATCACCAGTCAGCGTGAAGGCATGAATCTCACGTCGCATGAGTACCTCTTTTGTCAGGACGGGAAGATCCTTTCTGATAAGAAGCATGGTTCCCTCATCCTTTCAGAGTTTACCGGCACGTCATCGCTATTCGGAAAGAATGAGCTTTCAGTGAACCCTTGGGACTACCGACAGTGCGCCGATGCCATCAAGCAGGCGCTCGAGATGGGTGAGGAGGAAAAGACTCGCCGATGGGAGAACCTCTACAAGTGTGTTGTGCACCAGACAGGCTCTCACTGGTTCACCGAGCTTCTGGGCCATCTTGACAGGTCATACGACGAGCAGCACAAGCGCGACCAGACCTATGTGCCCCGTCTCTCGATGAGCTCGGTTTCTGCTCAGTACGCGAGTGCACAGCGACGACTCTTTATCCTGGACTACGAGGGCACTCTTGTCAGCTGGGGCCCTGTCAACCAGATTATCCCGGTCAGCCCGCAGCGGACCCTGGACGTGCTCAATGACTTGCTGCTGGATGAACGCAACACCGTCTACGTCATGTCGGGCCGGCGGCCGGAGGAGCTCGATCGTGTGTTCCGACGTGTGCCGAACCTGGGCTTGATTGCTGAAAACGGTTGCTTCCTCAAGGACTGCGGTAGTGACAAGTGGATGGAGATGGCTGATGCGTCTCAAATTACAAACTGGAAGGAATCAGTCAAGCCCATCATGCGGTACTATCTCGAGAGAACGCCCGGCTCGCAGATCGAAGAGCGGCGCTGCAGTCTCCTCTTCCACTACAACAACGCTGAAGACTTTGATACAGCCTCACGGCAGGCTTCTGATTGTGCCAGCCACGTCAACGACGCCTGTGAATCGCAGCGGGTGCATGCTTTGGCAGTAGACGGCGCCATCCTCGTTGAACCGCTGGACTGGACCAAGTGCACTGCGGCACAACGTATATTCAAACAGCTGAGCGAGAACGTAAAGGCAGATGAGGTGAACGAAAAGCCCGTTGACTTCCTCATGGTTGTTGGTGACGGCCGAGAAGACGAAAAGGTGTTCAAATGGGCCAACAACCTGGGTAACGAAGCAAAGATTGAGCATGTTGTTACGGTTAGCCTTGGCAGCCGAAGCACTGAAGCGGCAGCCACCTTGACACAAGGCGTGAGCGGTAAGTTTTCTCTCCCCAAAATTTTATCAGATGGTAATAAGTAGAAGAATCCTCTAATTTTTTTTCGTCGTAGGTGTCTTGAGCTGCCTTCAGCGTCTGGCATCATCCAGTTCATGATACGAACATGTCCAGCGTTTTCGTTTTCTTGGTTCTTCACCCACTCTCTACTTTTGCCGTTCATCTTGTTGTTATAGTTGGCCTTTTGGTTTCTAGTTCTTTTCCTCCTCTTTCCTTGCTCATCTGGTTTTGGTATCATGCAAGGCGTCTCAGGTACATGAAAAGGAGGCGTATTGATATCAGTGGAATTTTGCATTATACCTGGACATGGCTTCACTAGCATCGTTTTGCAGCGATGAACAAGTCCATATATATAACACACACACGAAGAGCCCCTCCACGATTTTCGCGTGTGAAGTGGAGTTTTTGGGGTCTGGAAAAAAATAAAGGAAAGAAAAAAAAAAGGTTGGGGGATAAAGACCGTCTCTACCACATCTGCGTATTTGCGTTTTGGTTTGGCTCCATAGCACAGCTTTTCTCTTTTTATAGTTGACTACTCTTGCACCCTTGTATTTTTAGTGCCTTTTTCTTCGTTTCTTTATTCTTTCTCGTTCACTATGGTATCAGCGATGATTATAGACAAACGCTTTGGATGGCGCGTGTATGTAGATGGTACACACCAAGCATCTAGTATACAGAGAAGAAGAAGAAATAAGCGCATGCAAGCCGAGTATTAGCATCACCGTGGGGTATACGAAGTAATTGTATTACTAGTGCTACTCTACCTACGTCTCTTGCTCATTATTTCTCATTCTTGATGCTGTATTTTCCCGCGATCTCCGTGCTTCACCGCCTGAAAAGGGTAGTAGTAGTGACACTTGGTTAAGACTCGATCTCTTCGAGGTGAGATTTGGTGAGAAAATGGATATGGTGGAGAGGACATGGCCATGGATGATTTCTAGGCAGAACAGAGAGGGTGACATGCATCCACCCGATTCACATACATGGAAAAGTGGACTTGAATTGCGCGTCATAACCAAGGAATCAAGTATAAGATACTAACGAGACTGTCTCTCTAATTCCTTTCTCTTCTTTTTACGTCCATTCCGCCGTAGAACCCTTGATTCAATCCATGCCATGCCCTGTAAGGTCCCTGCAGAATTCCATGGTAAGTCTATACAATATGCCCGATAGCTACTGCTGTTACAAATGTATGTCAGACTCCCGATACTACAACGTTATGTATGTCAGATTCAAAACGCTCCGTGACGGGGATCTGGGGGGTGATTGGATGGGGGGGGGGGCTTTGGAGGGATTGAGAAGAGGACCCTTTTGGGGATCACGTCAGCTTGGGTGAGAAGAGGTTTGGACTTTTAGGAGGGATGTTGGGAAGTCAATTGAGGTGATGGAAATTCTGTTTTATTTATGATAAAGATTGAGACTTTGAGGTGAATTGTTTCAATGTTGAAGCTTGTGGAATATATTGCTTGCTAATTGGTTACTGTTGGGTGTAGGTGGTAGCTTGAGTTGAGCTATCAAGGCAAGGTTTAGAGCTATTCGGCAACACAGCAGTTGAGAAGGGCATCGAATGTGAGCGCATGTATTATTAACGTGCAGCCAATGGGTGGTTATTAGTCAGGCTAGCAATTCGAGCTGATCTCGCCGAGTTATATCCAAGATTTTTTTTTTAAAAATACCACCTCGCTGCAAGATTATGCTATTTGACCCCTCCCCCCATCGTCCCGCCTTGCCGTCTTACAAGCTTGCAGTTTGGGCTCTCCCGGGCCGTCTTCTTTTTTAGCATTGATGGCGCTAGGACCAGTTGAGTTGGTTGAAGAAAAAAAAAACCAATAGGGCCGGAAGCGGAGGCTGTGGAGGGGCCAAGCGAGATCGGGGTGGTGATGCAATCAGTGCAGGCAGAGCTTACATGGGCAGTGACACAGATTACAGTGGTTGGTATGATGGAGTGAAGGGATAGAGAGGGCGTGTGATTTGGAGTAGGACAGATGGAAGAATACATATACGTGTGCTGATGACCCCCCGAGTTTGCGTTATAGTTGAGTTGTTTGTTCTGACTCTAAACTTTTTGGGTTCTCACTGTGATTTACGTGGCGCCGGTGTTCCTTACCCACTCCGGCTGAAATCTGATAGAGCTGTCTTGTCATTGCTTTGCTACCTCGGGCCCCTGACTCACTCATTCTTGGACCAATTGATCAACTGTCTTTTGGATTTTGCTTCTGCTTGTGTGACGGAAGCAATTGTCGAGTTGCCAATCATTGTCAACCGTTTTACAACACAGAAACAGCTCTTCTTTCACAATGGGTGCTTTCCCTCCGCCTCCGGTCAACACCATTGACTGGTCCAACGTCGGATTCCGGATCCGAGAAGGTGAGTCTCGAAGCCCTTGCTATATCCCGTCTTGATCTCCATCTTCTGCCGTCTCAAGACCATTGTTGCTCTCTGCTAACTCCAGCGCGCTCCAGTCAACGGCCACATCGAATCGACCTACTCGGTGCACACCGGCAAGTGGACGCCGCTCAAATATGTCGCCGACCCCTTCATCCGCATCCACGGCATGGCGCCCGCCCTCAACTACGGCCAGCAGGCCTACGAGGGCCTCAAGGCCTTCCGCCTGCCCGGCGACAACGAGATTGCGCTGTTCCGCCCGGACAAGAACGCCGTGCGCATGCAGCACTCGGCCGAGGTGGTGTGCATGCCGCCCGTGCCCGAAGACCTCTTTGTGCAGGCCTGCAAGGCGGCCGTGGCGCTGAATGCCGGCTTCGTGCCTCCCCACGAGACGGGCGCGGCCATGTACATCCGCCCGCAGATCTACGGCTCCAGCGCGCAGCTGGGCCTGACGGCGCCCGAGGAGTACACCTTTTGCGTCTTTGTCATCCCCACGGGCGTCTACCACGGCGTGCACCCCGTCAAGGGCCTGATCCTCGACGACTTTGACCGCGCGGCGCCCAACGGCACCGGCCACGTCAAGGTCGGCGGAAACTACGCGCCGGTGCTGCGCTGGAGCGACAAGGCGCGCACCGAGGGCTACGGCATCACGCTGCACCTGGACAGCGTCAAGCACGAGGAGATTGACGAGTTCAGCACCAGCGCCTTCATCGGCGTGCAGACGGGCCCCGGCGGCGCCGACGACATCACGCTGGTCGTGCCCGACTCCAAGAGCGTCATCGACAGCGTCACCTCGGACAGCGTGCTGGCCATTGCCCGGAGCTTCGGCTGGAAGGTCCAGAAGCGGCCCATCAAGTACGGCGAGCTGAGCTCCTTTAGCGAGGTCTTTGCCGCTGGAACCGCCGCCGCGCTGGTGCCCATCCGGAGCATCACCCGCCGCGGCACAAGCGGCCTCGGCAGCGCAAAGAACGTGACGGCCTCTGGCGGCGAGGAGACGGTGACGTACATCCCCGAGAGCCAGGAGGAGCCCGGTGCGGTGTGCTTGAAGGTGCTGGCCGAGCTCAAGGGCATTCAGCAGGGCAAGCGGGAGGACAAGTTTGGATGGCGGTTTACGATCAGCGAGGCTGATACGAAGGGCATTGCGGGGACGGAGAATGGCGCGACGGATGCAGAGACGGTGGATCAGATGGATTAAAAGTGAAAGAAATGAAATGAAAAGCTTTTTTATTGTTCAAATTATTTTGCATACATGACAGCTTGACAATGAACAGGAGGTCAAGAGTTTGTGATGTCTTTATATATACTCATTTACAGCATTCAGACTCATATATATGTACTGACATGCCAACATATCCAGCATCGTCATCATAGACATCATCGTCATCATTAGTAACCGACCAGCAGCCCTACAAGAACTGCTCATACACCGCAATCCCCTCCGAGAAGCTATCGTCAATGCCCTGCGTCAAGCCCTGCGCGACCGACTGCAGCGCCTCGGGCACTTTGGCCACCACCGCCGCGCTAAACTTGCGCGTCGCGTCCTGCTCCAGCTTGAGGTTGAGCAGGATCACGGGGTCCACCACCAGCAGCTTGTCAAACTTGGGCTTGGTGTTGATGATTGTCGTAATGGTCTGGTTGACGTCCGTGGCGAGGGCCAGCGTGGCCGTGGCGATGGCGAGCGTCTGGTCGAGCGTCAGGTTGGCGGCCTTGTTGGCGGTGTCGGTGCCCTTGTTGATGTCGGAGAGGAGCTGGGCCGACTGGACGGTGATTTTGATGAGGGCGAGGGGGTCGCCGTTGAAAGTTGCGACGGTGGTGTTGAGGCTGGTGGTGTCGCTGGTGATTGTGCCGAGGGCGGTGAGGATGGGGTTTGGGGCTGTTTGGGCGAGGGCGGAGGGGAGGAGGAGGAGGGAGAGGAGCTGGAAGTTCATTGTTGCGGTTGTGGTGATGGTTTGGTGTTGTTGACGTTGTATATAGGTGCGTGTAAGTCAATTGTTGATGGCGATACTCAAACAAGAACCTAGAAGCTGAGCGAAAAAAAACACCAAGAGCAACAGTTCACAATTCAAGCACTCTCTTCAAACCAGAGGAAAAAAAGAAAGCGAGTCCATCGTCAGGTTTATATACCCTCACATGCCGCCCAATCTGGGCACCAACTGCTACACCGCATACAGCTCAATTCATACAACATCGCCCAACCACACAACGACTTTTAGCCTCATTCCCCATATCCATTTTCTCACTCTCACGAAATTGCATTACGTCCCATCAAGCAAACACACCTACCTGCTAACATCAACAACAGAAGGGATCGTCGTATCCGTCATTTTGCTTTCCCCCAATACCCCCGGCCCTATCACCAGATCAGGCAGCTCAACCGGCGCACTGCAACGCCGTACCAAGCCTGACGTGGACAAGCTCCAACAATGCGGTTGCAGTGCAGCAAGCTTCTTTTGTCCCTTTTGCCTCCTTGTTAGCAAATTGTATTGTGTATTGCTTGTTTTCCCCGCAAATGTTTTTTTCTTGCTTCTCACCAGGCACCGCACACCATCTTTGAGCTCCTTTGCGGGGAAAGCTGCCGGCGGAGGCGGGCTAGAACAAAAAGCTGCAAGAGTGGAGTGAGTGAGATCTGGGGTAAATTGGAACTAATGGCTGGTGCCGCGGCAGCTTTCTTGGCTCTTGGTCGTCTTTTTTTTCTTTCATGTGCTCGGCGACGTGGTTTATTTCGTGCATGTGAAGAGTTGATCTGCGTGTAAGCACGTTGTTTTGGTCGGCATTGTCTATGTTGCATTGGTGATGAAGGCATTGACAGAAGCTTGTGAAGCTTGCATGTGAGGAGAACAAAAAGCACAATGCGAGGATGTCGTCTACCAGGAGGATTGAGATGAGAATTATCTTGACTATCTGAGCTAACAATTCATAAATGCTGCGAACTAATCATTAAAGAGTTCCACTTATCTGTCCATTATTCGATCACTAAAACCCACATCCAACATGCTTTCATCTTCTGTCACATCATTCACTTTCCTTCGCACTTATTCCAATCAATCTCACATTCTCTGCGATAACCGAAACACGTCATCCTGGCTGTGCTGCCAGCGCACGCAGATTCCACCTTTCAGATGGTATCACAAATATTGAAGAACCAGGCCTTCTCCAGCTTCCAAGGGCGCCGGCTCCTTCACCATGTCAACAGTAATCCTCATTCCAACTTTCCAGGCTAAAGCGATTTGTCGAATGTTGTTTCGACCCACCAAGAACGCCTGGTCCGGGTTCTGGAAGAAGAATTCAGCAAGCGCCGAGTAAAAGTATCCCTCGCGACGCATGTCGTCACCATCCATCTCGTTCCATGGTGCTCTCATTCTGGAGTACAGCGAGTATTCCTGTCCAAACTGCTGTCTCACAATCTCATATGCACAAATCATCCGCGCCTCTCCCGAAATTGCAGAAACAAGGTTTGCTGTGACGGCGACGACAGCCGAATATTCTTTCATAATGCTTCCTTCAATGAACGCATCAAAGGTATGCTTGGCAATGAAAATTTCCCACTCCACATGGCGCGTTTGATTGATTCCCAAAAGTCGGCCTATTGTTTCTACAAGTACTGAATGGTTCGTTGGGAGCTCCATGATGACACCTTTATGGCAAGATTTATGCAATCCGGCTCCGAAGCGCAGAGCTGCATGGATGCGACAAGGCACGTGTGTGTCGATTGCGTGTGGTTAAACGCCTCTATGGCTTGCCTTCTCTCTGATTCAGAGAGTCTCGACGTGCAGTGAATGGTCTTGATTCCACAAGTTACAAGCAGCGCGTTAATGATCCTATTCACCGTCAATTAACCACTCTCGATAGATATTGAACTTCGACGCCTATAAGGTTGGAAATGTATAAAAGGAGTGGCGTAACGAGATTATTGTAAAAAATAAGGTCAGAACTTACTGGGATGTCAGGAGATTGTTTACGCATACCAGTAGCTTCTCCTGTCGCTCCTTGGCCTCAAGAGCTCTCAATAGTACATGGCAATACTTGGGACTGTCCCAAGCTGTATAACGCACTTGGCCTAGCCTGTCTTTAGGAAAGCTATACCTCTGCAGTTCCCTGGTATGGTGGAAGAGCCACTCCAAGCCGCCGGTTGTATCGAGTTTGGCCAACCGGTTTGTAAATTCTGATCCTTTCGTTGGTATACAAGGGGTTGACCTTCCTTGACGAGTTGATACAAGGTTCAGTAATCCCTTAGTTGGTGTAGTCAATGCTATATTGTTGACATCAGTCGATATCAGAGATAATCGGCGACAGATCGCACTGTCTAACACCGCTTCAACTTTTCCTGTCTCGACATCCAAATCTTCGGAGCATTTTGGCAGCTCAGAAATATGGCTATGGAGCCTTTTCCTACTTGAGTATGAGTCTCTTGATGTGAGCTCAATTTTCCGAATGGTGAGACCAGGAACTCTCATTCCAAAGTATGTAGTATCTCCATTGGGGAGGCTCGTAGGAGTGGGCAAGCCTCGTTGGACAGATACCATCTCCAACACCTTTTGAATCACTGGTACCATAGCTCTGGCGACACGCCCATTAGCTTGCCAAGTATCTTTTAGAAGTTCTGGATGAAGAAAATAGGCTGGCCCAGATCCCTCAAGTATGAACTTTATGTATTCTGCGCGCCGCTGCCTTTGTCGTGGGGTCAGCGTGTCAGACGCTACTCCTCCAGCTATTACTCGCTTTCGAACGGCTTCATGCGTACTCTCTCTCCTGAGTAGATGCTCGTATGTTTCTAGATTATAAATCGCCGTATTCGATGTCAAATCTGATTCCATCGAGTAACTGAACGGCCAAGCTGTATCCCACATGAGTCTGAGATAGTGAAAAAGATCTATCAGGCTCCACAGGAGGTTTGGAGAAACTAGAAGGAGAGCATCTCGGTCCAGCTGCTTTACTAGTCTATGGTGACTAGTTGTCTCATCACCGATGGACTGGCACTCATCGAGAATTACCCACCATATTCCACATGTCGTTTTGTATATAGTTTTGGGTAGTGACATCTTGTTCAAGGCCGTTCTCGTTGATGTTTTTACCAAGACTTTTTGGAAGCTTTTGGTCTAGAGCCATGTCAGTGTCACGATGTTCCCGAGTCATCTGGCCTTGTATCTCTTGGTTGAGTTGCGGCTGACCAGTTTCAGCACCCAGCATAAGCTTTGCCCCAGCTTCATATGACGCTAAGAGTATCGTTTGCGCAGTCTTAGAATCCCTATGCTCTGCTGCCCAGCGGTCAATATGCTCCTGGAGCTCCGCAGTATTATGGATTACGTTAGATTTCCCGTCCAGATTCATCCAATTTTCACTGGCCTCGCAGAGCAGTGAAATATGGAATATTCCCATCCAGCAAGACCTCAGCAAGGTAAATTGCGAGCGTAAAGATTCTGAAGGTACAAATACGATACTTGGTTTAAAAATTCGATCAGTTTCTTCAATATGGAGTCTTCCATTGCTGAATGCATCAATTCTTTCGTCAATTAAGAATTTCGAGGCCAGCAATGCCACAGATATATTTCCAGTGCCACATTCGCTGTGCAGTATGGCAGTTCGTAGAGGCCCTCCCAGCAGCTTCGCCAATCGGTTCGCATCTACCTCTAAGGTTAGCAATCATCCGCATTGATGATGTTGATCCTAGCAAATAGACTCTGGCTAGAATATGTTATTTGACAATCGAGAAAAGAGCATACCTATGATATGAGGCGATCTTGCTTTGATTGGTGAGTTACATGGGTCAACAGACAAAGTATTCACATCAATATCTCTCAAGCTGCAGATGCTTGCCAAATCTTGGTTGGGAGGAAGGTTCTCTTCAAGGTGCGCCCTCGCCTTGCCCAGTCTTTCCAAATCGATAGTATTGTTGGATGCGATATGCTCATTTGCTTTAACCCGTGATTTCAGTAGCGCTCGCAATGATCCTCTCTCGCTCTCTGTAATTGGAGAGCGTCGCATTTTAGTTGGTACTTGGAGAGAGTTTAATTCTTCGTCCAGGTCAGTTCCAGGAACAATGGTGCCAAGTGTTGCACAGACTGCATCTATAATGATCTCAAACCATGCGCCATTAGTATCTTGGATGATGCGGTCGCGTTCAGCCGCAGTCTTGGATTGGAAGAGCCCGAGGGTATTGATGGCATATTTAATCTCATCCTTTGTTGCAAGCTGTGATAAATTCTCTTCCAGCTCGGGGAAATATATTTCCTCGTCTAGCTGCATTGAGGTCATCCTGTTGAGTCTCTTGGGCGTCTCCACCTGTCGCAGCAACTCATCTGTTATGTAGCCAAAAGACTCAGACTCTTGCGCATCTTGAGCAAGATCCATGTATATTGCAAACATTGCGATGTTTCGATTCTCTTCGAAGTTGGACGCAAACGAAAAATGATTTTTACATGCAAAAGTAATCACAGCGTAAGCTCGCATCCAATCCTCATGGTGAAGACCCCGAGTATGCTCGCTTGGCTTCAGAGGCTGCTGTTGACAGAAGCGGTTAGGATGTGCTTTGGCTAATTTGTACGACGCAGCGAGAATTGATAAAACTGGATCAATATCTTTGAGGGTGATATTGTGTTCATCTCCTACTAGCTTCTGTTGGAATGGTATGGATGAAACGAGTATTTGGTCTGGACGACTTGTGTCAAGTGCCAACTTAAGCCAGTTTAGGTTTCCGTTCCAGAGAACCCTAAACCGATCCCATACTTTAGAGGCAGGAGAAAAGCCATCACTGACGTTCGTATTGGGTATGCTCTGCCGCTGCCGGTAGACCTGGTAGTGTATTCGAAGTAAACGCGTCAATGTATTGGGTACTATCAACATATTCAGTATAACTTGAGATAGCCAGTCACTCAAGTGGTGTTGATGAGAAAAAGTAGCTCCTTACCAATAAGATATGCAAAGTAGTACAGCTGTTGTACCGTATTGAATCCCAAGTATGCAGCCAATAATCTGTTGTCTTTTTGGAGTATTTCTGAACACAGCAAGCGGGCATGTGGTGGTCGAGATTTCTATTCCGACAATCTCCAGCTTCTTGCTGCGGCCATTCTCTTGTCTTCATCCAGCCTTTTGACTGCCTGTGGCTGGAATCGAGAACTAGGTAGAAATAGTGACGGGATTGCCGACGCCGGCAACGGTGATCCAATCGTCCATTCTTCTTCGGTGAGAGATGACCTCGATGTAGCTTGAGAGCGAACTGGTCTTGGTTCGGCGTTGGTCTTGAGTTCACTTTCCGTTTCGCTCTTTTGTTTTTTGGAGAGATTCCGAATATCTCCTGGGCTTTGTGGCTGTCTCTTGCATGGCATGATAATGACTCGCAGTGAAGAAGGTGAATGTGGATGAAGGATGAGAGAATAGAGACGATGGCAGCTGTAAAATTCTACGGCTATGGAATTCTGCCTTCGGGGCTGGTGTAACAATATTCCAGCTGTGGCCTGTTCACCGCCCATACCCAGAGCCAAGTGCACATGTGCGCTGCGCTGCTGGCACTTGACTTTTTCGCTGGCCAGAAAGATGCTGCAAGCTCTTGAGCATCTGCCGGGTAGTCATAACCTGGTCACCCGGGTGCTCACTGTAGAAACTCATGAACATGAATTGAAGCAAGCTGCTGTTGACCGTCGCCAAAATCCAATCTCGGATCTTTTCATTAATTTCGCTCGCTCGTTGCTTGCGATCCATAAGACATTCTCGCTCGAAATCAGCGCCCATGAGCATAATTTCTTTTGCAAAGACGATATCGGCGTCTGTAACATCCTCTTTTTCTTTGTCGTAGAGCCCTGCAGCGTAGTCTCTAGCTTGAGAGGGATCGTAGACCTCGTCGAGCCCAACATAGATATTAAAAGCATCATCAGGGTGCTCTGCTAGGCTTGGATTTATTCTTTGCCAGATCCCCATCGTGTGTGAATAATTGCGAATGGTTCTCAACCACTTGCCTCAATGAGCCGGGTAGTCTAGCCTAGCCAGCTCAGAGGATATATACCATGATGGAACAGCCATGACCGCTGGACTACTCCTTGGAGAGCTCGATAAATACCTAAGATAGAGAGATAGAAATGGTATTGCCTATTTGCTCTGTTTTCTGACATTAGTCCGTCTTCAGAACTTGTGTCACATATGTGGTCGCGTTTGGAAGCTGCGGGTGCTACTAATAGTATACACCAACTCGACCAATAGCTAGGTATTGGAAAGCTTACTATAAAATAGTCAATTAGAGCATATGATAGAGGTAATAACGAGTCATGTTCAAAATAGAAATTGCCGCTGCGTTCATGGATAGAGGGGGCTTTTTGCTGACAAAGAAAACGTGCCGCATTATGAGCCGTCGCGAGAGCTTAAGCGCTTTGCTGTGACTCCATCCAGCATGTGCCGATAGCGGCTTGGCACCATATCCCGAAATAGGAAATTCTTTGCTTATTGTTCAACTTACACTCGCCCCTGTCTATAGCTTGACTCCGTTTCCATTACGATGCAACCAAACTGTAGCCAACAGACAATGCAGCAGGGCGTATTCGCCTCACGGATTAGAATATCAGATACGTCTATACGCTACGCAGCTGCCCATTCAGCTCTTCGCTGGGTTGTGAGATACATGTGAATTGCCCATATCGGATTTTTGACCTCTTGGATTACAAGTGCTTGACTTGATCAACTGCTATGACTGGCGTAGTTTTGACATGCGTTCATGAAGTATCTCCATATCTATATCCACACAATGACTAAAACTCCTTTACTTTTATGCATTGCTTTAAGCTTTACTGTACTGGTATATAGTAGGTAGTAATACACTTCATGTCCATGTATAAGATCTTGCATCGTCAGCGTAGCTCTTCATATTCATCCCCAGCCGCAGGCAGTGGCGGCATGTGTATATACAGGAAGCTGCCGAAGGACTGTTCATGTAGTAGCAAGTGGAGGCTAGAAAACGACTAACAAGCCGCTGAAATACGATCGATGCATGGGGCCTTGTGGGGAAATGGCATGATCCGAGCCCTACCCGCACCTACAGCAGGGCAAAGATTGCTCGGACCGCCCGTGGATGCTGAAAACTCCCATGTAAGGGAAAGTCTATGCGATGGAGCGAATGGAGCTCATAAGCAACCTACGGAGATATTGGCCACCTTGTCTCTATAGGTGTCGGGGCGGCTGACTGGCCGTGATCCCGAGTGGGATCTCTTGTTCAATGCACATGGAGGTCTTAATTCTTCCTAGAGCTAAGAGCTGGCGGCTAGCTACTTATATACTACTGTCGATATTATTCAGGGGACTTCCCTCAAAGGGGAATAAACTGCCGTAGCTTGCATCTTAGATCTGGGTTCAATCTGCGATTCGAGCTCCCTCTGTGAGTTTTCTGCGATAGGGCGAATAAAGGTGACAATACTAGTAGTATTTCGTGATTATCGATGTAACCTTGATCTCAGCTGACAAATATGGGTACTATTATCTCCGATACAAAAGTCAACTTTACATCGGAGATTGTACAGGTAACAAACGGCGGAACTCGGTATTCAAGTGCGTTGTACTAATGGGGAAATTAAATGGCACATCTTAGCCTAATAGAATATATCACATCTCAATAGAAGTTCTACTCGTTCGTGATGTGCTCTCCACATTGCATCCGACAACGAACGACACAAGGCAATCCTTCAATGCCTACCACGGTAACTTTGATCCTACCTGACAAATGTCACTGCTATCTCTACGAATTACTATACTCTTTCCCCTGGCATCGATTATGCAAGCAATCGATTGCAATAGACATCCATAATGTGCCTACTGCGTGTGAGCTTGCCGTTATATAAAGCCTGTCTCTGAAAAATGTAGTCATGCCTAGTTGCGTCTTGAGTGTGCGTCTCTGAGTCTGCAACGCCAACAATGACTTCCCCCTCGCCCCAGATGATACCACCGTCGAAGTCACAGAGTTCCGAGGCCACTCCTCGGGACTCTGGGTCTACCGTTGAAGACGAAATCAGCGAAAACGTCACTCCCATGGAGCCAGATTTGACAGTCGAGAAAATCAGGACGAAAACGAGCGTGCGAAATGACATAGAGGCCGGGATTCTGCCTGCGCTAAACACCACGGTATCGCGAGCCACGACTATATCAAAAAAGAGAGCCTACACTCTCATGGTACTAGTTGTTCTCACGCAGGGCGTGCAAATGTTTGCATATGGAGCTGGTATCGTCGGTGCACTCAAGGTCGGCCGCGCTGTGGGCGCATCAGACTCGTTGGCGACCTGGATCGCTGCATCATATCCGCTAACCCAAGGTTCCTTTGTCTTGATCAGTGGTCGGATGGGTGCCGTCTATGGACACAAGAGAGTCATGACGCTTGGCTCAGCCATTTGGGTCTTTTGGATGTTGGCCACGGCATACGGACGAAATATCGTCGGCATCAGCTTCATGAGAGCGCTTGCGGGGATAGGAGGCGGCCTCCTTGTTCCCAACGCCGTGGCTCTCTTAACGACAACATTCCCTCCTGGAAAACAACGAAACTTGGCACTGGCTCTCTTTGCTTCCATGGGGCCGGCCGGCGGCGCCGGTGGATGCACCATTGCCGGTATCTTGTTTGAATGGACTGATTGGACATGGCTCTTTTTCTTCCTGTATGGTGTCCTGTCCTCGATATTGCATGTATTCACAGATGTAAGCTGCGGCGGCTAACCTTTGATGATAGGGCTGTTCTAGGCGCGGTGATATTTGGTGCAGCGATTATCAGTGTTCCGGATGACGAACCTTTGGACCCCGATGGAGCCGTCGACTGGATAGGAGCATACCTCGGCGTTGCAGGATTGATCCTATTCAACTTTGTTTGGAAGTAAGCTGAAAGAGATCCATCATCATCCATATGCGGTTACTGACGAGTGTGTTCTATAGTCAAGCTCCGATTGCCGGTTGGTCGAATCCATACGAATACGTGCTACTCATCGTTGCCATTGCTCATTTCGCCCTGTTCTTGGTTTGGGAAGCAAAGTGGGCAACAACCCCAATACTCCCCTTTGGTATCTGGAAAGTGCCGTCTTTTGGCGCTCTCATTCTGGTCTTGTTCTGCGTCTTCATGAGCGTGGGTATCTATTGCTGGTACGTCACCGTCTGGCTGGCCAACCTGCGAGGCTGGGGTCCGGTGTTGCTTGGCCTTTCCTTTCTACCAATGGCAATTACTGGATCGGCATCTGCTTTCTTTGCAGCATGGGTCGTAAGCAGAGTGCGAGCCGAGGTCGTCCTTTGTCTCGGCTCTCTTGGCGCGGTAGCAATGAATGTTCTTGTTGTCACTATGCCAGTGGAGGAAGTCTGGTGGGCGCAGGTATTTCCCGCCATGATTTTCGCAGGATGCACGGGAGACATGATATTTGCCGCTGGCCAGATTATTGCCAGTAGCATTGTGAGTAAAAAGCATCAAGGAACTGCTGGATCTCTGCTTGGAACCCTTTTTACGTACGGATTGAGTACCGGCCTGGGATTTGCCGGGACGGTCGAGGTCAACGTGAATAAGAATGGAACGGATATCGTGGGAGGCTACCGAGGAGCCGAATACTTGGCAATAGGATTTGCGGGGATGGCGTTTGTGATAGCGCTGCTTTTTGTGAGGATGGAAAGGAACACTGTTGAGGGCTGGCAAGGCGAGGATGCTGAAGATTATCAGCCTGAGCACTGAAGAGGCGAAGCAGACTTGGATGGAGAAGAATCGTCAAAATACCACTTCTTATGCTTCAACAAGGGAAAGGCGGCTGTGCTATGGGGGACACACAGTAACAAATGTGTAAAGCCGCTATATCACTTACAGACTGAAGTAGATACTAATGATTTCATGAAGGCTGGATCAACAACAACATGGCGCAGGTTAAAGTAACGCCTTTTTAATAAAAAACTCGAGTAGCAATGCAAAGTAATTAATCTGTTCTAAATTTGTGATGCGTGCATTGTGGTTGGTAATTTTCACGATTGACTTACACGTTTCTTGGAAAGCCGGAACGGCCGGAGAACCTTTATGATCCGCGGCAGATGTAAAATCAGCATATAACTTTGTGGATATAGATAACACAGCATTTAATATCCAGCAGCATGCCATTTCTGAGCCGAAGTATATGGTAGCTAAGCTGAACACCCGGTATAAGAACTTGAAAGCTCCATTTTTCAGGGGCGCAGAGCTAAGCCCGGTCAAACGTGGTGAACTGTGGAGAAATTGACCGTTTTTTCGCCACAATGTCTATTCTCAAATGGGCTAGTTTTGTCGAGGTGCATAACCCGATGAGATAGTCTAAAATGAGCTTACTGCTCTGTCTGCCGACTCGTGACGAAACGCTCTGTATCTCGCGATATATCGGAACTTGGACCAAGATGCGACGGCGTGCAGATAAGAATTTGGAGTGACTCGCTATAATGTAGTTAAGCAACCAGAGTCGCTGCCTTTGGAATTTTGTTTTGTCGAGTAGAAAAAAAAAAAATTCGCATCTCCCCATGCTGATATTGGCGTCACTTGCAACGATTGCGAAGACGAGTATAAACTGAATCCTACGAGTGGATACGGAAATTTCCTCGGTATTTAGCTCCATAACTGTTGCTTACATTTGGGTTTACTAAATTGAAGTTACTCCTATCCCGATGATTGTAAATCCAGATTGATATGACGGTATTGCAATGAGTATCTAGTAGTATCTCCTTATTGTTCATTTGTAAGCCAAGTTAAGGGGATATTCTTGTCTAAAATAATTTGTAGACTATATAATGAGGTTTCATCGCTCTCGTCGATGCTTCAGAAGTTGAGGTCTGTATCACTCGTCTACGAACGCTCTATCCGCTGAGATCTAGCAATACAATCCCTTACTTCGTTGCACGCTTGCGTTATCGGATCGAATACCTTCTTCATATATTCAACATGTTTCCAAATCTTTCTCAACTTGCTTCCATCATTACTGTCGCTTGCGTCCCATTCGTCTCAGCCGACACAGCTCCGTTCGCTGACTGGGACCATGGTCGAGTTCAGTTGAGTAACGTGAGCATTCATTTCCGCTACGCAGGAAGTGGACCTCCTTTACTGCTCGTTCACGGAAATCCGCAACACAGCGTGAGTTTTTACTAATCTTTGCTGCTGTGTGTTTCCATGACTCATTGTTTTATTATGTTGCAGTATACATGGCGTGTTATGGGCCCTATTCTCGCTTCTCATTATACAATTATTGCTCCTGATAACCGTGGCACTGGAGATAGCTCTATTCCAGCAGACAATGACTACAGTGCTGAAGCCATGGCTTCCGATCTCAAAGGTCTTCTTGACTTTCTGCAAGTCAACCAAACCTTGGTGTTTTCTCACGATAAAGGTGCCGGCGCCGCATCTGCCCTCGCAGCTCTATTTCCAGACTCGGTTACATCGCTCGGTGTATCTGAATACCTCCTTCCAGGATTCGGATACGAGGAGTACTCTTGTCCCTCTCCTACATGGGATCTCTACGCCAACTGGCAGCTAGCTTTCTTTAGCATTACGGACGCCGCAGAGTTCTTCATCCGCGGTCGTGAAAAAGACATGCTTTCTTGGTACTTTTATCACGCCAGCTACAGTGGTACTGAAGCGGTTCCGGACGATGTTCTCCAGCGTTATGCGACTAGCATCAGCAAGCCAGGTTTCTTGCGCAGTATGTTGGGTCCTTTCTCTACCGCTTCAACAACAGCAGACCATGCGCTCTTCACCAAAGTGTTTGCAAACTCGACACTCAAGATGCCTTTCCTTGCTCTGGGTGGTGAAGCGAGCCTTGCACCGGCGAGTCAAATTAAACAAGTGTGGGGTAGTCTCAGCGACAATGGAACTTACGAAGTAGTTCCAAAGGCTGGTCATTGGATCGCAGATGAGAATCCTGAATGGGTCGCGCAGCGTCTCGTGGAATTCTTTGGCAGCACGGCAGCTACCATGAAGCCGGCAAATCTCACATGGCTAAACAATAAGGTAACTCTTGTTTAACGAGTTATTGTTACAGCACAACGATGCTCTAACCATATTTTTGTAATAAAGGGCCCTCTTAAGGAACTTTGCGGTGGCAGTTTGGAAGTGCAGGATGTAGATCAGAACGAATACTTTTATACATACATATAATACTATCATTCACCTAAAAAGCTTTCCTTGTTCTATGGCTATAAAAATAAGCAGGGGATAATTGCCAGTTCAATATGCAGTATAAGACACTGTGTAATAGCGAATCGGTCGAGTTGTTAGCGTCGCTTATAGTATGATGGTGACGGTCAGGACCAGCATTATAGTGCAAGGATTACAGTTTCAAGCGATTACAAATCCCAGCACCGCAGTAAGCACATATTTGCGACCAAGCAATTCGTACGGCAACTTTTATCATTTCTCTCTCTCTTTCTCTCCTTTATTCACCGAGTTGTCTAGTGAGCAGGCCGATTAGCTTGTCACAAAAATGGGGCGATACCCAACCAGCGGCTACTGCCACACGTGTCGAAAAAGGCGCGTGAAATGCGGTAAGAGTTGACAGTCTCTATTACATGTCTAGCTCTTCTAATTCAGGATTTATATGATGTAGACAAAGCCAAGCCATCATGCGGCCAATGTTCTCGCTCCGGCCATTTTTGCAGAGGTTACCAGCCTGTCCTACGGATGCAGCATTATGTGGCTATGAATCAAGATGGCGCCAAATCGCCGTGCGTAGCGACCAAAAGTCTTAGCATTCCGAATGACGGGTGCTTAACGAGAATGGCCATGGGGAGATTTGATGAGGAGCTTCATTCATACTTCCAATCTGTGTATCAGTGGGCGCCTTATTGGTATCCGACGTTGAAGGCAGCGATTGATGCCGGCTCACCTACTGTGAACCGGCTTTGTAGTTTGGCCATTATATATGGGTGCATGGGAAAGGAGCTAAAAGCTCCGACAATGCTGGCGAAATCTCAGGCCTTTTATGCAGAAGCTCTACACCGAGCTCGAGATTTGATTGAGCAGACAGATAAAACGGCATTAGCGAGGCTGGTGCCTGCAGTCTTTATGATGGCCATGTATGAGGTGAGTACTCTTTTTACTCGAAATGAGTGTATTACTGCTAACATATACAAGTGGTCAGTGCAAGATCGTACCGGGAATACTCATATCGATGGCTTGAACCAGATTTTGGTGTACTGCGGACCCGAGTACTTTGAGCAAGAAACACTGATTTCTACATACAGATCATGTAGAATCCTGCATGTAAGTGACGCCACCGTTTGAACAGACCATCTTGATGATCAAAGCGACTCACTTTTTTTTATCAGACTTGTTGGGGCGTTCGAAACCGACGGCGCTCCCTTTTCGAAGCTCCGATCTGGGCGGCTGTTCCATGGAAACGTCATCTCAATACAACCGAGGACACACTGCTCAATATTTTAATTAAAATCCCTGGGCTGATGGAGGATATGGCCAAGCAGCTTGACTATACGCAATTCGAACACATAATAAGCGACTATATTTCGGAGCTTCATCAATGGCGTATTGCGTGGCATCATGAACATCCTACTGCTGTGTGGGAAACTTTTATTGACAAATCTGCCTCGATTCTTTCCTTGGACGAGACCCTATCAAATCCTCTAGAGTTCAATTCCGTATCTTTGGCCCTGGAAATGTTGTATTGCGACGCCGCACTCGTACAGCTTACGCGGTTGAAAGGGTACATTCTCTTTCCATTCATGCAACCAAATGCAGTAAGACCTGAGGATATGGTATATATTTGCCAAATGGCTCATGGAGCAAACGGAAATGGTCTCTTGCTCCCTCATCAAGTCCGATTCGAATGTCAATTAGCCATTGAAGCACTCAGGGTCACCCAGTACATCACAAATCGATTGCAAAGCTCCCCAATTGACCGATATATACCACCGTCGCCTTTTGGCATAGTATACTGGGCGCTGATGGATGAACCTGAGGTGCAAAGTTGCGTAGCTTCCAAGCTGCTCAAGTGTCCGCCGTTCTCGAACAACAAGGCGTTTGAAGAATTTAAAGTGGACTTTCAAGTTCCACGAAGGCTATCAAAAGTCAATTTAGAAAATTAATGTTAATAATATGCAAATTGGGTGGGGATAAACAAGGAATCACAGATATAGGACGGAAACGGAACCCCCGGGTTTTTAACTTGATTTGATGCGTTATCTAGATTAAATCATAGAGCGAAATAGCAGATCGCACCTCTATCTACACAATCTAGCCCTAATTCCCAAGAATTCCGACTATTTCTAGCTTCCAAGCATCTTTGTTGCCAGATACAGAGTTCCGATAGATATACATTATCGTTGACATGATAAAAAGGTCAATATCCGCTAACTGCAGACCATTTACAAGCCAGGAGGAGTCTGGCATAGGACATCTTGGCCAAGCTAAAAGAATAGTTATTAATATGACCAATCCTTGAGAGCAATTGCATCCAAGAGATTGTAGAATGACTTACAACAGGAAGAACACAGCAGCGAGCCTCTTGGCCAATGGCGGCGCAGTTGGCTTTAAATTCAGCGGCGGTGGTAACAGTGCCAACAACTAGATTTCCAGTATCAGCATCATTGGACCAATAAATATGTCTGGGCTTTTGAGGCTACGTACGGCCTGCACAGTTCAAATCAGCAACTCCAAGCACATCAACAGCACAGCATTGTGGGGTGGAGTAAAGGCCAGCAGCGCAAAGAGTGTCGCGGGAGTTTAAGCCGCTGGGAGACGGCGCGGCGAGGACGCCAACGACAAAGAGAGTTGCGACAGCGAAGAACTGCATTTTGAACGAGATTTAGGTATTAGGTATTAGGTATTGAGCAAAAAAGGCTGACGAATAGTAGCGTGGAGATTGAAGCGAGTCTTGAGAGTGTTGATGTTGAACTGTTTGGTGATGATGAGAGACTTGAATAGCGAGGGATCAACGAGATATTTATATTCGATTCTGAGTCCTTTCCCATCCACGAATATCAGGATCATATTTCCTTGGCAGCCATCAATTCCTGTTTTTCCTGTTCCTCGTCCAAACAAAATGGCAGCTATGCAACTGTGCCTGAGCCGGGACATGGATGCTAGGATACGCTAGGTCATAGAATAATTACTTTCATCATGTATCTGTCATTATGCAGGGGATCAATCAAGTAGGAAATGAAGGACCGCTGGGCTGTATTGTGAAATAATGCATAGTGGACAATTCGACAAGGTGGTTGGTAGATGGGATGGAAGATCTCAAGCAGCCTTTACAAGGAAATGATGAGCTAGCCGTTGACCTTGTATCATGTTGCAGGGCTATGCCTGTGGTGTTTCTTGGATATTATTTGTAGAAAGTGTTCAACCAAGTTATATTGCTTGGCACTTTTCCTCACATGGTCGGATAATGCCGAGACCTTCGATGAGGTGAAGGCAGTGCAACGCCACTCGTTCTTGACTGATGATGTCGAGGCAAATGATGCATTATACAGTACTTCATTTACACATCAGGTTATGGATCTCGGAATCCGGTTATAATAGCAGTGGAAGTTATCATACGAGATATAGTTTTACTACTACTAACCCCAGCCCCATCTAGAATTACCTCCCGCGGAATCGTCACTTAGCTACGACGCCCCTGTGGCAAACACTTTAGCGGATGCATCCCGAGAACCCGACCCCAGATGCTTTCTGAATGGCTCAACTATAGCAGTGTCTCGGGTCTTCGGCCCCGTTTCAATTGCCCAATGAGCTGCCTCAATACATGCCGCTGTGCCGTGAGGGAGGCGAATTCATGCGTGCTATTTTTAGCGGGCTGCCAATCACTTGATTTATGGCCTATAGACGCAGAGTACGTCAAGTCAGGAACTAAAAACAAGGAAATTTATATTGCTTTGCCGTGCTGAGTAGATTGGTCTCATATCACCAACGCCTGTCGGTACTTGTGTGCCAGTATGCTTCTTTACCCCTGCGCTACGCCTTAGTTCTTCTTCAGCTGCCATGGTACTTGGTCCAGAATGCATTCAAGCAACGTGTATCTATTAGGTAGTATTACCGGTTCCCTTAGATGTTATATTCGAAGCCTGTTGGGCAGAAACTCACCTAGACCTTCAAGTTGGGCGGTCAAATGGTGATATCATCTCAGACCTTGGATATTAAGCTTTGTTAGGAGAAACAGAAACCCAAACCGCGATTTGTATACTGAAGACGTGGCGTACCCACTGCTCTATGGGCTGTCATACTCCGTTAGCAAACAATTTACGACTTGCTATTCCATCCCGCGTGCTCAGTACCTATCGCAGTCCGGTACCTGTGAGGATGGAGCAATAACAGCCGAGAATAACGTGTTATTTTGGGCGCACAAGGTTAGCTGATGACGGCTACACCAATAACGGCTATGCAGGAACTTGTTCGCCCAAATGTGATAAATGACACGCCGATCGTGTGCCTCTACAGGGATCATAGCCTTGGTATACATCAAGGAAGGCCAATTGACTTCTTTTGTTCAGCTATGCATGCTTCCATCTAATCTTAATGGTCCGGCCGTTATACTGGTACTGGTAATGATCTTAGCACACCACTACACTGCTGCCATCATTTGCGTCCTTTGGTCATTTATTTTGTCACGTCCGTATGCCAAGATGCCAATTGGCATCTACCACGCCCCTGCCCCGAAACAAAGAAGCAAATTGAGCTGAGAATAAACAGCATTCGCCGCAGTGCTCGTATTCACCCGCCGGCACGTCGGTCATTACAGGGTACATGTAGCTTCATCCACACGACAACTGCAGACAACTTTGACAACAAAGCACACGGCAGCTCCAGTTAATTGATTTGTTCATGCAAGTTTCTGGGGTACTACCGCTAGTGTTCCGCTGCCGCGAACCAATGAATGTCATTTTCCCCGGATCCCTTTCTCCGGGCGATTTTGACGCGGCACTGCATGGGCTTTGTATGCCGGCAGTGAATTACTATTTTATCGAAGCCCGATGAATAAGCCAGTCAAATTGTATACGGACACTAGTATGCACGATTTGATCAACATAAGGGGAGTGGGATTTCGAGTGTTTGAGGCTGGGCTACATTTGGGTAGTATTTGAAGATCCCTCGTCATAATGAGGACTAGTACGTGAGTCGAATACATCACTGTACAATATGCGTTGGCATGCATCTTGGTCTTCAATGTTCACCGCCCATAGGCCTCTCATGGTGTTTCCATCAGCTCATCTCAGTCTGCAGTTTTGCTCCGTAAGTTTTGTGATGTCTGACAAAAGCCATCCCTTTCTTCGGCTCAGTAACGGTGAGAGCCTGCAGACCATGCTGACTGTTATTTACAGGGGATCCTGTCTTATGGAGCACCTACCAATCATCTATCTTCCCTATATGTAAAGTAAAAGGAAAGCGCCTGGTTTCTGGTCGAGGAACCTCCAACGTATGTATCAGACGTACTGTGACAATGCGCCGAACTAAACTTACCTACATATCAACATCGATCTAGTATTCTAATAATAGAAAGCAACTGATCTCAACGTTGTTCTGGAGTGGAAATATGTAGGGCGCTCGGTAAATTATAACATGATCAGCAGCTTCAAGTCATAATTGCTAAACCATCAAGCATTATCCAGCCTAATTTTGCAAAAACATTTAATAAAAAGATAAAAAGGACGGAAAAGCAGCAGCCGCTTTTGGGCTGCCATTTCAGTGTCCCAATTGGCCTATGACGCCTGATTTCTCTTTACTAGGCTGTTTGCATCTCATGCGTCATACATATTTGCCAATAGTGGAATAATAATCCGTTTGAGTTCCGTTTGCAAGAGAGGCCGCCGTGGTCGATCTTTTCTACTTTAGAATTACCATTTTAGACGGCTGGTTCCTTGGTCGCGTCGCTAGCTGAGTTGGCGCTTTCGATTACCAGGATTGTAGGGCCTGGATATGTTCAACACCTGTCGATCAGCCTTGCCACCGTGCTCGTACTCACGTTTAGTGCCGGGGCACAAACTTGATTGCAAGCTCGATGATGCTGTCTTGGTCCAAATCGCAGGAGGATATATTTTATATTTTACCCAAGGCCTATTTTGCTCAGCTGTACAGGGATCCCGTAACCTGATAACCTGCGCTCTCATCCCAAGAGGCAGGCAATTGTTTAAGACTCTTGTCAGGAAATTGACTGGAATATTATTTGTTCCCATTAGAGCTCATTGGAACTCGATTTTTAAAAGACCTTGTCAAATTTTAGTGTTTTGATGGTGGCGGCCATTGCAAGCTTCTCAAAATAGACCACGCCACAATGCTGCTGAATGCAAAATAACGATGTGTAAGCAATTGGCTCTGTCAGCCTTTGATAGCGATGCTATGATGTCTTGCTTGTCAAGATAGACATTTCCTTTACTGTCATACCAGCTTTGAAATGGACAAGAGCATCTGGCAGATGAAGCACTTGTAGGTTGGGCAGTGGTGGGGTCGTGGATACCGTTTGAGATTCAGCTTAGAGCCAGATGTAGTCTGATCAGTGCCAGGATCAGTCAGAAAACAGTCGTTGGCTGAAAATATTGGCGCATAGTAGTACATGACAGCGAGTCTAAGCTCTGCCATCCACTTCCCACAACTTCACTTCAATTCTCTCAAAGGCTCGGCTGAGTGCCATTTACGGAATACATGCCCTCTGGAATAGCTGCAATGCGCTCGATGTTCGGCGACTGCTGCCGACCTTCAAAGAGAACATGGAACAGAATGACAGGCCGGGTGGCTGCGATATCGCATTCCAGCCAGTCCCTTACCACGACTCGATCTTAAGCATACGAGATGGATCACACCATGGCTATGAACTTTGCTCAATGATATGGAACAGCCCATTCATCAGCTGGAACCATTCGGAGACGACTCATCCACTTGAACGTTGTGTAACAATGCTTGTTACAAAGCCAGACTCCTCTGTTGGAGCAGAATACCGGCTCCGACACATGCCATACATCGGACAGCGCTTCGCTGCCGGCCACATTGCATTGGAGGAAAATTCGTGGCGACTGCGCCTCTATTTTCTGCTATTGGAGACGGTTCAGGGCTCTGACAATGGAGAAGAGTCTATCAATAGACTTGGTGTCAGCATTACTAGTATACATCAATACGGCCGTGTCTTCATGTTCTTCATCGACGAGGGAGACGAAGCTTTTAAGAAATGTTAAGGGTGATAATTACCTATGAAGAAGTTTGTCATTGTCTAGTCCAGCTGCGCGCTGCCAGCTTCATCCTTGACATCAGCGGAGATAAATGTCCATTCTGGTCGCTTGAGTCGGAGAGCTCAACAAGATTGCTTGAGAAACTGACATGTATGTCGAAATTGAGAGCCTCGCACTAGCTTTTGTAAATATGTTAACAAAGTCACATACAAGCTTGCTACAATATGCATATAGTTCAGCCAAGCAACTCTCGGAACAGTCGTTTATCTACATGAACCCAGTACAGCGTGCTTTCTGTGGCGTGGGAATGATCTCATGGAGAAACTGGTTGAGGATCAGGGGAATCCACATGTCGTATACAACTATATCAACTCAACAGATCATGTCTGATGTGTTTCAGAGCATGAGCGCTTCCCGGCATTTGCTTGACTGCCAACCTATTTCCCTGTTGTCCCTCTCCGCACTATACAAAGCATATATCTATGTATATCCATTAAACTTATTATTATAGTTTTATTATTAACCTTAATACGTAACATTATGCATTATGCACGGCTATTTATGAGTTCGGATACCTATATTATTGGCTCAGACAGGTTGAGACTGGTATATAGTAACCGAGAGGCTACATTACATTATAGGCTAAATCTAGTGGGAGATTTTGTAAGCATTGGGAAATCCGACACGCAAAATTGAACATGGGAAGTCTTTGTATTCGATCAGTTTCGGTATGTAAAGCAATAGAACATCGGATAGGACGTAACGAAATGCGGATCCCCTGATACAAAGTATAAAGTATAGAGTTTTATAGTTGACGCAGGATCAAAAGCATGAGACAGGTTACGCTGTTAAAAGCGTCAAATAATAACGCGTCCAACAAGTTGCTGCTGAGGGCGTTCAATAATTTGCACTGTTCACATGCTGACGACTCAATTTAGGTTTTCAACAATTCAATTATGCTTACAAGCCGCTGTTTGTAGCTTTCAGCCCGCATTAGACATGCATAAGCGTAACAGAGATCAGTGACTGGTCATGTTGTTGATCCTGGAGAGATGCACATTCGCAGCCGTTGGTATCGTTAGATCCAGCCTCTACCTATGTAGCAGATCTAGAGATGGTCTTAGAGCAAAAGTGTTTTTGTATAAATAGACCTGTTTTCCCCGCATTATCTCTTGAGTTACTCAACACGCTCAGGCCTTTCTGGATCTTCTTTCGCTTAGTCCAATACTTCTTTACAAATTTGTCGCCACCACTACTTTTATATCTCAATCATGTACGCCTCTGTCATCATCTACACTCTCGTCGCCCTTAGCGGTGTCATGTCGTCTCCGGTTCAAGACGAGGTTGTGCCCCGAGCCATTGAGCCTCGCATGCCTACTTTCGCCGATATCCCGTTTCCGAGATTCCCAAGCCACAACCGTCACCAGAAAGATAAAGGCAACAATAGTAGGTTTTTACACCAATTTCCGCATATTGATGTACTTTGGATTCTAATTTTGACTACAGAAAATGAGGCCAGTGGCTGCAGCCCCGACACAAACACTCAGTTGAACGCCTGTTCTGCAGGCAACCCGTACTGCTGCAGCAGTGATGGTAACGGCGGTAAGTGATCAATTGCCTTTTTCTATCTAGGATAAACTCTCACAGTCTACAGGTCATGTCTGTGCAAACACTACTGCATGCGATCAAAAGGTCATTTGCTGCAACAATAATAACGGCGTGCGTTCATATTGCGGTATCAACTGTATTCATTGTCTGACAAGCATGTCTAGTTCCAAATCTGCATCGGCGAAATTGACTTTAACATGCCAGTCACCATCAACATCTACGAGTAAAAGAGGTATCCGAGCGAAAGAGATTCTTCAAAGGGCCATGGAATCGGGGAACCTTGCAATAAAAGCTTATCTTAGCCCCAGTTCAACAAGTCAATCTACTCAAACTATTCAAAACAAACCTCTCATAGCCTGCTCTTTGCTTCAGCGACGGCCATTACTAAAGCGAAGCTGTTTATTAGACTTTTGTAGTGTTGTAAGCCAATGCTTGTCGGTCTTGTTCCGCTGTCGCTAATCTGGCGGTCTGGGCCACGCTACAGTAGATCGCGGCCTGTAAAGAGCACTAACTAGTCTAGACCTACTTACCATTGTCTCAATCCACTTACATCGATGCCTCACTTATGGGGAGGAATGCACATGAAACATGGGTCGATTAGGTTTACGTTAGCTGAACATCTCAATTTCCTTTAAGTTTATTGCAAAGGTTCCGTACTAAATACTACAGGATCATTACATTATGGTTGCTACTATACTCGGGGTAGCTCAGGGGTAAGAGTTCACCTGAACCTTAAATTCATTGCCATCAATGCTATACCGACCTCAAAAAGACGCCATCTCAATTTAGATCCGGAAGAGAGTTACCGTCGGGAAATATCATCTTTATAGTAAATTAATTTGCTATAAGATGTGGTTGGCAGGCATCAACCACGAACTGACGAGAAATGAATCTTTGTACAGTCACCATGCAGCCAACTCGGCAACACTCAATCTGCCTCCCACTGCATCGAATTGGTTGCTGTGTGAGGTAGGTCTACCCGGCTATGGCTTCAAGTGTGCGGGCGAAGATCATTGAGCATCAAGCTTGATGCCTCGGCATGATTGGCAAACATAATTAAATACGCAGTGAAACAAATACCAACGCCCTCTTCAGTAATCTAGTCAGAGTCGCCGTCATTAATTGAGGTGCAGTAAATGCTCCCAGCCATATCACCGAGTCCAATGTCATGAAGATTGCTCACAGACTTTCGCAATCCCGCGTAGAGTACCGGGGGAAAGCATGCACGATTACTAGTATTAATTAGTCGCGGCCCATAGATAGCAAAGCAGCTATGTGGTTCTCTACTTACCGGAAAAATGCACAGCTAATCTTTTGAGTAGTAAACTTGATAGATGACTCCCTGCGATATCTATTACTACTGTTAGACCCTGGTTTTTAGCAAACAATATTGACCCGTGTGTGTTGCTTACAATGTCTGAGGAAGTGGCCATCATTGGTTAAGAGAAGGTATTCCATAGGAATATCCATTATAATTGCTATGTTCATAAATTGTGAACTAAACCACTGATATTTAGCATATTGTCAACGCTTTTTGCTGATTTTTTGTATTTACGCCAATGACTTGGGCGCTCGAATCTGCAACAGGGGTTGCAGAAACAGCAGCAGCCATTGCAGCAGTGATCAAGGTCAAGAATTGCATATTGAAGTATAAAGCTGATAGCTGTGGCGGATATAGACACCCGTCAAGTGACGAGATAAGGATGATCTGGTGGGATTGAGGAGCTGTTGAGAAGTGAATGGCAGTGTGAGAAGAAAGAAGAGTGCTTTATATAAGTAACATCTCGACGCTGTTAGCATGTATCACTTACACTTCTGACGTGAGGATTGTGATGACTGAGTAATAAGAGTCTATCGCTGCACCACATGATACCCATATAATAAGATAGATTGGGTAGAAAGGCTTTATTTTGTCTCAGAAAGCAATACGCTAGGACTGAACTACGGTATAGTGCCTCAAAAAAGTAGGAAACATTTTATAGACCTCCCATATTCCGAGATTAATGTCTCACTTGTCTCTCCCTTCACTTATCAAATGATTCTAAACTTATTCATGTCATGGGGAGCCTGGTATAAGACAATACTATGTTACTAAACAATCCCAGAAGAGCGTAGGCTGTAGACTATGTCTCTTCTATGCGAATAAGAAGCTAATATTTCGTAACAATTCGTGGGACTATATAAAAACCTTCCTTATGCATCACAGCGCAGCACAATCTCATATGTACTCAGACATCTTTGGTCCAATTAATGTGTGGGCTGACCGTAAAGGATCTCGCGTAAAATTTTGAGCTTTGAGCGAGCAGAGACGCTGCTAATAACCCTCAGCATGATGACTAGGCTGGTCTCTTTAGAAATAGTGTATGTATATATATATATATCCCAATTGACCGTTCTTATGCGCATACTTCACGCTTCCCGTTGTATACTCCGCTGAGAACAAGGACACTCTCAGGTAATTCACCGTACCACTGTATCGTCAAGCCGTTGACTGTGACCCTGCTGATGCTTTCGACGTTCTGGTGCTTGTCTTCATCTTGGCTAAGACTTACCAAGTGCCGCGCATTCCGATGCTTATTCGCAACTGTATAGTCAAACGGGACATCATGAACCCATGAATCATCACCTTCCGGCTTATCGTTGGCCAAAACTCCTTCAATAGTGGTATGGCCTATGTCCGCAACGCTGAGGAAACATGACAAACTTCGTGGAGTGATTCGTAGCGCCCATACTGGAGGATACCACGGATCCTGCTGCCCAAGCAACACGGTGCCATCTTCCGTTGTGCGGTCGTCGATTAGTATCACAAAATAAGGGTAGTAACCACAGTCTGCGGCTTTGAACTTTGTCGTAGCTATCTTTAAAAGCTCAGTAAGTCCACCTAGTCATTGATCAGCCCATAAGTCCGTTTCGCCAGAGAAGAAGAACCTACATTCTCCATGGGATCGTGTAGGATGAACAACCCATGTGTCGCCTATATCCCTTCCTTTCGCGAACTCCTCATCAAAAGTTTCGACAGTCTCTTGCAACACGCCTGGGCGAACAAATGCAGCCACGACGTTTTTTTCGGCAAGAAGTCTCGATGAGAGTCGTTCCTCATCCATTATTACTGAACAGAGTTTGCAGGCAGGCGGAAGCAGTGGGGTCTCGTGGTGTATGAATGAAGATTGAGCTTACACGTACGTTGTACAAGCTTATGTTGAGCTTATATGTACGTTGCACAAGCTTATGTTGAGCTTACACTTGTTCCAGCGATTGACATATGTATTATTGCCGGATTACCTAATAGACATCCTACTTATGTCAGCCGTCTTGAGCCCTTTCTGTGGCTAGCCGCCATACCTGGACATAAGTGCACACTGATTATGAAGATTGGCACTATGATCTTTTTATGACATTGTTTCCAAGGCAGGATACTTGTTTCGATTTCCACAACCTATACTAAACAGTCATCTGAGTTCTATTATACTCTCACAGTGTTTGTAGGTAACTTGTGTATTACTGCTTTGGACGCATGAATAAATATAAAACGTAAGTTAATAGGCCTAACTATCGAAGTAAACTATCGAAGTTATCTCATACATAAGAGCGAGAAGACCAAATGTTCACAGCTAGCATAGTCGCTCAGTATTCCAGATATAAAGGCCTCTTAGTTGTTTCCGAAGCACTCATAAGACTCGATGTTGTCATTCCAACGACCTGGAATAGCAGGGAGGTTATCGTGGCCGGGGTATTCAAAGTCAATATACTCGCCAAAGCAGTATTTCTCCCTAAAATTGTTATTTGAAAGGCTCATAACAACAAACACATATTGTTTCAAATTAACATACTTGTAGAAACGGCAAATACCAGCCTCTCGGTTTGGTTGAAGGGAAGACACCTTATCAGCCCACTGAGGACGGAGAGTAACTTTATTCTGTTAGCGACGGGGACATTGTGCACTGTTATATTCATTTGAAAGAATGGCAACATACTGCATTCGCCAATTGAGGCTATTTCCGTGATGCATGGAGGATTAAAGCCGGTCTGGTCGCAGAAGAGGACCTTGGGGACGTCTTGGGCCTCAGTTGGTTCTGCACTGGCCTGCGGAGCAAAGATGCTACCGGCGAGGTAGGCAATGAGGATTGCAAGCTTTTTGGTCTGCATTTTGGAATGGTTGTAATAGATAGTATATTTTTTGAATATGGTGGTAGTGGAAAGTTGTAATAGATAGTATATCTCTTGAATCAGGTGGTAGTGGAAGGTTGAGAATTTACTGATCAGAACGAAGTGGGAATGCACCGATTTATAGACAATCTCGAACTCGAGATGCAAGTAGAAATAACGTAATAATACTCCGCTATAAGATGTGTATGACTGGCATCATAAGTCATTATTACTACATTGCTTCATGTAGTAGTGACACAGCGTATGTATAATGTAGCTTACTACTAGTATAGAGAGATTCCTTGTTCCCACGTGATCCAGAGTTGGATGTTAAGATATTACTCTAGAGTTTATCATTTGCTGAACTGTAAACCAATGCTTATCTAGTTTTTAAGCGAGTCTCTTATTTGAAAGTATTATATAACGAAAGAGCGGTGCAAAGAATCCCAAAGTTCAGATAAGAATATTAATATTAATGTCTCTTTATATTTGCACTCTGTCGGGCAACCTTGGATACTTGGTTCTTTCGGTTCCTGAATTTTTACTGAAATCAGCGTTCGTAGTGGCTTATTACCTCCAACCTATGTCGATCAATTTTGCGCTACCAATATCAGGTGAGGGAGTCATGAAGAAAACGAGTACCTGTATACTATATGTAGTAGTCTGAGAGGGCTGCACCGGTAACCACAACCGCGGACCTGATGTCCACGGGAGCCCAAACTCTTCCTCATTTTCGCCAAGAAGAATATTATAGCTAGCACTACAGTTAGCACGATATTCAAACTAGATATGCGTCAAATAGTGATGCTTTATACCTCCAAAAAGAAAATGTCGTGTGCGATGTTCACGCATCTGTATGCTCTTTTTTTTTTAACTTTATGTTCCAAGCTATATCTATATCTGCAGTATATCGCTCGACGCTGCAGTGCTTAATCCACTCTAGTTTTCATGCTTCGGTCCATCAAGCACCAAAATCTAGTTATTTAATTAGCTATTTGTTACGATCCGTCATACCGTAGCGCCAAACAGGGCAAAAGATTAGGCAATAATTGCAATTGTAGCAATTGCTTTGACGGAACCAGCTGCCTATAAGTGATTCACAGTTACGGGGAACCAGGTCGTAACACTATTAAATAACATAAAAAGAAATTACACTATAACTAGATACCAACTTCAGCGGCTTATTATAAACTACAGGTTAATCTTCACCTCTTCGTCTTGTACATCTTCACTTATATAGCACACTGCTGTAGCTATGCCTATCCAATACCAAGCTATGGTAATTTGCCATACGAGGCGTAGCCATTGATTAATCATCAGGTTGTAAGTCCAGGTTTTCCTCTCGCGCCCTAGTTGTTTCTCACCACTCATACACTCACAGCACAGAGCAGTTCATTACAGGCCTAATTGCGCATTCAACTGCACGGGGAATTTTTGTTTCATGGGAAATCTTGAATATAGTTTTTGAAGACGGGCCTCATTTCACCGAAAGAGGTTCAGATATAATTGGTATCTCTGAGACTGGCAGGAGTGAGGAAGTCACGGTTTGGCTGACATTGAACTTTTACTACACGGATATACAGACACCAGCACCTCGTAAGCATCATACCGTGTCGGGTTGCAGCCTGAGAGCATTCCCGGATTAAGAAATCTGTCCTCAGGCGCATCGCCGTAACTCACCCTATTATCAGCAACTCAGAGTATTGGCCACGTATCAACAAGTGATTCTGCTATCATACGCTTCCAGGAAAGGCCCAGAATGCTATACTTGGGAGGTTAAAAGAAGTTTCAGTGAGATGCTATGTTGTTTAAATTGAATACCTGCAATATGAACTAAAGATAATGTTTAAATAGGGACAAATTTATGTACCGAAATATACAAGAATAGATTACATGTAAGTCGATGTTTGAGCCTTGGGGCGCAACCATTTTTGTTCATTCTCGACCAAAACCGTGTCCGCTTCGTATCTAGAGACTAATTCTCGTCGGGTACCTGTCCCGGGTGAGGCTCGATCATGTTGGTGGCTGTGCCTCACCCTAGAATGGAAATCGCCGGGACTAATGGAATACGAGAACTTACGTGGCGCTTACACGCTTCAGATTTAAATGTTCAGTAACCAACACTCCTAAATGCAGCACTTCTTCTTTTTTTTTTTTTTCCTCCACGAAACACAGTCTTGTCACCTCTAGCTCCCCAATTCCAAGACTTCAACAAACGCGCTTGAAGATGGCTAGCTCAACAGCATTCAGCTCGATGAAATGGAGTCTTTATCCAGATGATATATCTGAGCACCACACCTTCGAGGTACCCTATTGGGCGCGGACTGTATTGCTCTTTGACTTTGCCATATTCTTGCCCATCATCGTTATTGTATGTGCTGTCTCTTTTCAGGCTTCTCGCCTCTCTGGCTGCTTTGGTGACACAGCCTTGTCTTGACTTTCACTGACATCGCCGTGCTTTCTCATCGTTACATGTAGTTGCGCTACACCTTGCCCAATGTCTATCCAGTATTTGCCATTATAGAAGACAAGAGCCTAGAAAAGGAGCCTATTGGAGACGATTCTCTCGAGCCCAACGATGTATCCAGCGAGTCATTACCCGTCTCTCGGTCCGATGATGACCATGGACGAACAAACACCTCGTCTCCATCTGCCATCTATCGACTCCTGGTGAAAAACGGTGGCGTCTTGGCCAACTGCCGCGGCCTCGCCTTTGCTCTATTGCAAACGATTCCCACGACGCTTTACATCGCTTACCACGGCCGGTATTTGAGTAACGAATATCACATCGTCGCAAGATTGTTCTTTTCCCTTTTGTTAGTCCAATTCTCTACACTGTGGCTGCACATCGTCATCGCTCAAACCGGCCGACCGTTCGAGAGCCGCATCCCCCCCTTTAAGCGTACATTCCGGGCAACCTGGCTGGCAACTACTCTTCACTGGGCTGCAGTGGAGTTTACGGGACTGTTTCCTAACATGGTCGCCTCGAGCATGAACATCAATTGGCCCTCTCACCACTTCTTCGGGCCGGACAATACCTACCGCTTTCGCCTGGACATGGTCGCCGGCGATGCCATCTTCTTCTGCAAGTGTGCCGCCGTTATTTTTGCCACCGTCGTCGGCTCCATCTTTCTTGTGGTGCCGAGCCAAGTGGTCTTGACGCGAATCCAGGCGTCTCTTCTCCCTGTGGAGGACAGCACCATTGTTCCCTTTGACCGTTCTTTCGGGGGCCGGGTCCAGCCGGATACTGGAAGTGATCGGGATTATGCCACGATTTCGGATGCATGGCATACTTTCTCTCGGGCCCATTGGTGGGGGCTGGTGATTCTTTCCTTGAAGATCATCTTCATTTCCCTGTCGCTGATCGTGTTGATGAGCGTGGTTATCGTTTTGCAGTGGTTTATGATTGTGACACAGGGCATGGAGCCAAATGAGGAACTTTAGATGTTCACATCATAGTACTTTTGTCGTTGCAAATACATGGATGTATAATAAAAAGCTCAAAACCTTTTCCCCTATATACAACTCTGCCACTAACACAGCCCTCACGGTCCACGGCCGCGTATTATCAGAATCTGCCAGTTTTATGTCCATTATAAGTCTGTCTCCAAACAATATTCCGCTTGAATCTGATAGTAGTCTATTCATGCAAGGCCCGTTGGCTTGGGCAATTGTTCGATTTCAAGCGCCGCGCTCGCCGCAGCCAGCCCCGTGAACTAGGCCGTGACGTGGGGATCAGGCCCGATGAAGTTATTGGGGAATCCAACTTCAAAGGGCTTCACGCTTTCCAGGTACTCTACCTGCTCTTGCGATAACTTGATGCTCAGCGCCCGAAATGTTGTCTTTCAAATGCTCAATCTTGCGGCCGCCAACCATGGGAAACACCCGAATGGCCTTGGCTCGTACGTAGGCGAGGGCAATCGCCGTAATGAACTCAGTGCCATGTCCGCTGGCAATCTTCTCTAGAGCCTCGCTGATTTTTCTCTCGTCCTCACTCTGGCCATTACTGTACGTGCCACGTAGGATTTCACCCTTTGCCATCCGCTCTTCTAAAGCCTTCTTCATTTAAAACCTGCCTCCGCCGAGAACATCCTATGGCGCGAGAGTTAATTCCATATTGACGACCATTGCAATGATTTCCCTTTCAAAATCACGTAGCATAACATTCCAACGACCCTAGTAGATGCTAAACGAAGTCTTGCCAAACGCAGTAGCATACTCATTCGCCGCACTCACGATCCACGAGGGAGTGTCCGATACGCCTAGGTAGAGAACTTTGCCTTGCTCGACGAGAACGTGCAAGCTATCCATGATTTCTTTGATAGAAGTGGTAAAGTCCCACCAATGAACATGGAGGATGTCGATCCAATCGGTTTGTAGTTTTTGGAGTAATTCGCGGACGCTCATGTACATGCTTCGTCGCGAGTTACCACAAAAATTAGAAATCCACCCTTTTCCAAAAGCATACGACTTATAATCAGTGATATATTTTGTGGCAATAACCATCTGGTCACGGTTTTGCCGTGTCGCCATCCATTCACCGAGCCACACTTCGGACTCGTCATCTTGGTAGGCATTTGCAGTGTCAATGAAGTTGCCACTAGCGTCAAAGAAATAATCAAGAAGCTTAAAAGACTGTTCCTTGTCCATTGAGCCCATGAGGTCGGACCACGCAGTGCCAATAGACATCGCTCCTAGTTGGAGAGGAGACACGCGAATGCCGGCTGTAGAAGAGAGGATTCGATATCCCCCAAGCTCAGTTTTTGATTCTGGGGCTGGGGCGAAGACTTGATCCATGTTGAACTTGGGTATTGTCGTTTGTAATGGTTAATGAATATTGTTCGAAGCTATTTGGCATCTTCTACAAGTGGATGGCGAGAGGAGGGCACGCAAGTAGTTTATATCCATGACGCATCCTAGTGAATAAAATTTCTACTCTAGTGAGTATATGCTCGGGCTATGTTGCATTCCGTCTGGTCACTTGTTATTGCTGATAGACTCGTAGTCATGTTTTGGACTAGAAAAGCCATAATTATGATAGTCCCCGCTCATACAATCGTTGAAAAACACAATACTGTAATGCCACTCAAGCATATCAAACTCCGCGATATCAACGCTCTAGATCGACTATTATATCCGGAAACTCCGAGCTTAAGTTGGAGCCATGTCCTTTCCGATTGAAGTCACGTTTCCATCATTCACGCTCACCATCAGCCGCGAGCTTCATCAGCCTGCCATCGGGTCCCCTGACCTCAAAGGCGCTGCCATTGTTGTGAGCCACCCCATGACGGGCGTCAAAGAACAGACGGCAGCGGACTATGCCCGAGCTCCATCTTCAGCGGGATTCTACGCCTTGACTAGCACCGCGTACATTTGAAACCGAAGCATCTGCATTACTGGCGGATGCACCTTCATTCTTTAAATCGGTCGCATACTATGACTCGGAGCGGGACCGCCGTGCTCGATCTGACCAGCCTTCGGACCTTTTGGAAAACAAGCTCCGATGGCATCCAATCAGATCCAGCGGCACCGGGAGAAGTTCCGATTTGAATCAATAACAACATCATATAATATCATATACTGCTCCACTATCCCGTCGCCCTGAAGATGGCGATTCCGAGTGCCACCAGTCGGACATTACCTACGAGCGCAAAGGGGGGATTTGGTAAGGCCCGGTAATGGTTATCAGACAAGCATTAATTACTATAGCACTTACCAAAACCCCCCCTGTGTTGCCATGTAGTCTCCCGGCTCGATCGTATCACACATTCGGCTTGCCATGACGGGGCGCCGACTTAGCATGATTGCCTATAAAAAGCCAGGTCCTCTCTGCAAGCTATATATATGCCTCTTTCAACTTCATCATCCCATCATCTCTTCATAACATTTAGCGAGAAAAATGGCCGCGAAGAGTCCCGTCATTATTATTGGAGCCGGTATTGCTGGCCTGTCTTTAGCCCGAGTCCTCCAGGAGAACGGCATTCAAGTCAGCGTCTACGAGTCTTCGTCGAGAAGCGCCGCACAGGGCTACGGCATCACGCTACGATCCTGGGCATATGGTCCTTTGGTTGACAAATTGCGCATCAATTTTGACGAATTCCGCAGCGCAGTTGCCACGGATGGCTCCGTTGGCGGGATCGGAGAGATCAATCCCACGATGCATGATGCTCTCACAGGGAAGCCATTGATTGAAGCCTCTCCTTCGCAAACCGGAAGTCCTGAGGGCGAATTCTTTCGGGCGAACAGAAATCGCCTAAGAGAGTTCCTACTTCGTGGGGTTGATTGTCATTTCGATTATAAGCTCGTGTCTCTCGACATGGATGAAGGCGCAAAATTGCTGAATGCTCGCTTCGCAAACGGGGCTGTTGTTACTGGAAGTCTGGTAATAGGGGCTGATGGCGTATTTTCTAAAGGTTTCTCTTTCCCTTGACCTTCTTTCGGTCTTCCCCACGTGATATGCCTTTTCTTTTTGAATGATGCCGACGCTCATTGCTCATTAGTACGCACGACTTTTCTCCCTACAGTTGAACCGTCGATTGCCTCTACCGTGGTGTACAATGGTGAGCGGCAGGTTCCACGGTCAGAATTCGACTCCACCATTGCTCCCTATATGCCGCATACAAATGTGCATGCGGCTGTCGCTGAGAATACAATGATATCTATCACTGTTACAGAGAAGACCGAAACGGAAGTAACGCTGACTTGGACATACACCCACCAGCCTACGCGAACGCAAAGCCCTGCCACCCTACTTGGCGAGTCTTCTGCTGGACTGCAAGTGGCTATACTTGATGCTTTTGCAGCGCTTGGCCAATTGGCGCCTCCTTTTTCCACAGCCCTGGCCCCAGAGAAGATTCGACAAGACCGACTCTATCACTGGCTCATGAGAACCATGCGTCCGCCGCAGGACGGTCTTAGACTTATGGCTTCGAAAGGTGTTGCAGTCATTGGAGATGCTGCCCACGCGATGCCTATTTTCGCCGGCGAGGGAGGCAACCATGCCTTACTTGATGCCGTAAAACTGGGACAACATCTGGCAGACTCATATTCGCCGGCCTCCATAGATGCTTTTATTGACGAGGAGCTTCCTCGCTGGGAAATGGCAAGTGTTGGGTCTGAGAAGCGCTCTCTATCGCTCCACAGACCTCTCAACATTTGGAGGACACTGGCAGAACAAGCTAAGAAGCACTAAGCAAAGTACTGGACCATGAATAATAGAGCATTTTTCACATTGCTATTTGCGTGCCAAGCTTAGGTGACCAACAAAGACAATGTATACATGCAGGCTTCGCAGGAATTTCTTCAAAGAGATTAACTGAAGAATCTCAATAGGAGGAGAAAACACCATACACATTTCCAACCAGATTTTTAGAAACCTGATTAGTTTCTGAGACATGGGCTTGCATTGCTGCTAATACTCGATCTAGGGGTAAGCCGCTCTTCTGCCGGGCTATTGTTGCTTTAGTAATCGCGACAGGCAATTAAACACTTGGCATTGATATGCCTTACAAGACTGTTGTGTTCACATCCGGCTCCTTCACGGCATAGATGATTCGGACTATACAATCAAGGCAACGGAGTCTCCATTTACTCAGACCCGGCTTCTGGAATGTCCATCACCCATCACGTCCGGTTCTCTATAGAGTAACTCCGGCGGCAGAACTTACTCTCCGCCAAAGGTGTTCCCTTATATTTGCTGGACTTGTCGGCGGCCACCTATACTTGACCGAGAATGCGGTGTTTGCACGTCACTCATTGCTGAAAGGAAGTTACTTCCATGAACTCTGCGCGGGTATCAACGCTACGAAGAAGCACGATAATGTACTGCCACCTCGTTTGCTGTCGATTTCTCTTGCGTAAAACTGGCTAATATCCCCTTGCTGGTGGTAGGAAACCTGTAAAGCGGTTTTGTAGGCTCCGGAGCTTTGGACTCATTTTCATCGGTTTCTGTCAGCGTATCGAGTTGTGATATTTCTTTCTCAAGAAATTGTGTAAGCCCGGGCGCTGTTGTGTATAGCTCTTTAATTAAGGGCTGGTAAGAGAGATAGCGTTATATAGTATTCCTCGAGGAACGTCTTGCCTTTGAAGCGAAATCTAGAAGAAAGCGTGCCGCGGTGGCGAACTTGGCAAACAGCGTAAAGGGATCCTGTGGGAATAGCGTTAACGGATCTATAGCCATCACTTGGGAGTGAAGTTGGATGAAGGAGGAAAGGACAAGACCTAGGAGGAGAGCGACCAGGCCGCATTATATACGCCGCCAGTTCATGGGAGGCCGCTGACCTGTAACTTATCTGGCTACAGCATCTCGGTGACCGTCTTACCAGCTGGAAGCAGTAATGTACACACTGTGAATGTCCGCACAGCCCAGTCAAAGCTCTCCATTAATTAAAGTGTACTAAAATTGTGCTTGGATTTACTGTGTATGGATGCTTTTACAATGGCTGATTGGGCGGCTGCTTCGTGACGCTGTTCTATTTCGATTCGTTGGCGAACCGATATTCACACTGTTTTCGAGGTGCTTGGAGAGCTTGCTTGCCAGGGTGGGTCATTTCACAGGCCGGTGAATTATTGTAGCTCGAAAAAGTGCCTATGGATCAACGACAATGATGAGCTGAGCATGATCGATTTAAACTAGGTAGGGATTTTGGGTCAAGGCAAGAAAAACAGCGAATCTAAGAATATTACATACACTAAGAGGTAAACATCTGTATTACTAGCAGATACCTACACCTTTTTTTATACATTAGCTGCCGCATACTACAAGTACTAGTATGGCTCGGAGCGGGCCGCCATGCTCGAGTCAAAGCGACCCCCGCACCTAATACCATATCCTAGCCATCTCAAGAAAGAATCAAGCTGCAAACCTATGCTCTATTAATGAACGGCAAAGATGGCTTCCACATCAGCTGAGATGCCTGAATCCTCTACTAAAAGGACAATCCCGGCACTTGGCACGCGGCTTCATCCCAACATCACCTTCCGTGACAGCGTGCGGATTGTGCTTTTTCCAATTATCCCCATCTACGCCCGAATTTACCTCTTCTCCTCAATCTGGATTACCTTTGGGCACGTTTACGTCATTAGCACCACTTGTATTTGCATTATCTACTTCAGCAAAGGGATGATTAGTCTTCGTTCAGTTTGGGACATCATCTACGGGTTATTAGTGTCTAGCTTTCCAAGCTGGGGTGCATCTATCTTACAGATAATCTGGGATGAGTCCAAGATTCAAGGCTGGCGATGGGAGGTTGTTTACTGGACGTGGGTTGCAATACAGCTAAGTTACCTCTTGCCAGAGTACTATGGGAGCGACGTTCAGGTAAGATATTATTAAGCTGTCCTACAATCACTACTGAAGTTCTAAACCAAACAGGTACTTAACACAGAACAGTATGATGCTTTTACTCATGTCCGAAGCTACATTTATATAATCTCTGGTACTATCGTCTACTTTGCCCTCTGGCCAGAAGGATGTCCGTGGCAGCACGCTTTTCTTATACTGGTGATTATCAGCTCTTTTATTGAATACGGATATCTATTAAATTTAAAATATGCGTCAGTTCTGCTGGACTTACTTGCGGCGAGTAGATACTCTAACACTAAAGTAGCCATCTCCAAAATTCCGGAAAGACCGTGCGACAAGATTCATGGCCGCATATGGAGTCGTATATGAGAGCGTCAACACTTGGGGAATGGATTCGATGGCATACAATTGGTAGTATAGTGGGGAGAAATTAGCACAACCTCCGTCGCTCGCTTACACAACTACCGCATTTTAGGCCATGTTGAGATTTTGCTTTACAGTAGCTCTCAACTAAAAGGAGCCGCAGGTCTTGCTCTCTGCATCAACCCCAGTTTCCATTACCCACCACCTACCAAGCTACTCAGAACTCAGCTAGAATACAGATAGATAATTGTGAGATGGGTTGTTTATGTGATGCTTATGACAACAGTTATTTCGCACTATACTAATCATAAGCACCATATCCTAGTTACTAATAAAGTCAGACACTTACAGTAGAAACCGAAATAAGTATCCGCTTCCTTTAATGTAAGGTTTCTTTTGACATGTACCTCTTAAAGTGCTCTGACTTTCTCCGGTATATACTATTCTGATTTCAACTTTTGTTTTTTAAATATTCAGCGTTGTAGACCGCATTCTAGGGAATTGTTGCTGTTGCGTGGCTGTGTCTTTGGTCGCCTCGCGTACCTCGGTCTTGGCTACCATCGCTATCGCTTACGGGGATCTCTTCGATTGCCACTCTGTTTCCTCTTTTACATAGCGCTTCTATAGCCTTATAGATTAACAGCATATATACCTGACCTGATTGCTGCTGTGGGTGACCGAGGCTTATTACGACCGCTTTGTTGCTGGTTATCACAGCCATGTTAACGGTCTGCGATTGTCGGTAGGCATCGCAGCGCATATGCCATGGCCGCCAGTTGCCCTACATACAGATTCGGCTCCATCCTGGGGCCGAGTGTAAAAGAAAGACAGGTTAAGTTTCCTGCAGGTTTTTCTAAAGGGTCCGTGTAGTCCACCGCATAAAAGTATCCTTTGCGCAAAAATCGGGCTACCTCAGCTGCTTTCTAAAGCTGGACTACCATTAAACTCATAATCTTTAAGCAGTCTATCACTCAACCAGCCGACTTTAACAACTTCTATAGCACCTTCGCTGTTAAGCATGTTGTTTAACCCAGGTAGTTCTTTACCAAGTTCGTCTGGCACTGCCAAACGGCGGACACCATCAACCTTTAATCGGATAGCACTCATCCCTTGAAACTCGAACGCTCAGTAATTGCCAGTTTAAGTGTCTCAGGGCGCTTAATATTAATACATAGCGCGCACTGTAACTGTTCACAGTGCAGAGTGATTAGCACGGTGGACAAGGGAGGAAATACAGACCAAACCACCAATCAGCAATGTCCACGCATCGCTCATGATTTCAGCCCAACATCAGCAGAGGTTCAGTATTAAGATTCCAATCCCATAACCTCTGTCCATGTATGGACTGAATCTCTAGTCAGACCAAGCATGGAAGCTCACAAGCCAGAGTATCAACATTTCATTCCTCAGTTTCTACTGAGAAACTTCTCTCACAAACATGCGCCCACCAATAAGTCCAAAGCGGGGAAACCCAAGAAGCGCGACCGCAAGAAGATGTATCCTGGAGAGCAAGCGGTGAACAGCCTTTGCCTATCTGATGAATTTTTCCTTGATGAATGCTCGGTAAGGCGCGCCTGTGGCTTGGAAAATATGTACGTGGATACGGCAAAACCGTTGGAGCATCAAGGCCATCTGGAGAAAAAGTTTGGCATCCTTGAGAACAAGGCGAGCTGCATCTATCGCAAAATCATCAAGGCATATGAAAATGGAAAGCCGGCCATATTGCTGAAGAGAACTGAAAAAGATGTATTGCGCAAGTTTATGTTCTTGCTCACCTATCGTGGAGAGCAATACCACCGAAAGTACAACTTGGACAGCATACAGGATTATGATGAAGGCGACAAAGAACTTTTGCAGTTTTACATGGCGAAGCACGGCTTCACCAAACCAATTGATGTCTGGCTCCAGAGCTTGGAGACGATCATAGATTTGGACATTGACCCAGAAGGATGTTGGAAACGGCGTATTCGCGAGAGCATTTACCTCCCCATTGCCGACTGGTTCATCGACCATATCTGCGACATGTACATGGCCATATGCACACCGGTAAACCATGACGAAGAGTTTGTTCTTACAGACAATTGCTACAACGTAAGTGAAGGGCAGACTACTGCTTATTATGATAAAAGTACAGGCAAACACATGAACTTGTGTCCTTGCTTTCACAAATTTGCACCGATTTCTCCGAAACTTATGATAGTCCTACGGTCTAACCATCTGCCTGAACCACTTGAGGATGCGGATCCGGCCGTTGAGCAGTGGCGGCAACTCCAGAGGCAGCTGTGGATTGACTGTCAATTTGGCACCGGAACTAAATCTATTCTGGAAGATCTCCGTATCCATAAAGCAATGAATGGCAACATAGAGATTGTCAACGGGAGGCTGACGCCAAAAGCTGGATGGAACCAGCGCCTGGGTATAAACGACATTTTCTGCTTCACAATCTTTAAAATATCTACTCGCCATGTCCGAACCATCAATGGTCTCCTGATTGATCACGCATTCCATGGCTCGAAGATCATTTTCAATCGGAAAGACGTCTTCCTAGACTTGATAGAATGGTATCTAACAGAACCGTGCGAGGTGGGGAAAAATCTGATTGGAAAGAACACATTCAAACAATTGGAGTACATCAAGGGTTTGTCTGATTTTATGTTACGCGAAGGGAGGGAGATTAATCCTACAATGAAAATTTGGCCAAGCGAGGATCGCGACCTGGAGCAATTCCAGCTTCAGAACATTGCTGGAGCGCGGTTCCTTGAAGAGATGAGGTATGGAAAGGGCGGCATAGGCTCTGGCTTTATTGCAGTCTATAAGAGATTGGGTATTACACTTCTTTGTCTATAACTTTGCTAGAGATACTAATCGTGCGTGGTAGGTGGGACAGTGGCAACTTCTGATGAAGACATGGCAATGGCCAATACCATGCTCCAGATCTGGACCAGGTGCGTGGATTTAGACTGGTGTTCCCCAGAATATGAATCGATTCGCCGCAACAAACTTGCCTGCCTATTAGACGGGTATCAAAGACAGTCGTGTTCTGGGTTTTGGATGTTTTTAAAGCGAATGAGGCTGGCCCAAAAAATTCCAAACAGTGGCCGCGAGTTAATACAGGACATTGCATTGTTTGATGAACAAGCGTGCCGGGGACCAGAGGACATGCTTGCATATGGTCAGTTCCACCGCCCCTAATATCCAATATTCGTACAACTAATGCAATATTCACAGCACACCCACTAATACAAGGGCATGAACTTAATGTGGCAATGTACAAGTCTTTTAACGAGAGCATGACCATGACCAGAGGAGCTGGGTGCGGCCTAGAATCAATGGGGTTTTTCTCGCTATATGGTGACGAGAGTTGGAGAATTCCAACACCCTTTTCTCACCGGAACCAGCCGTGCGAAAATGACGAAGTCAAAGATGGACCTGATGTCGAGAAGACAGTCCGTTCCTCAGTATTTAATAGTGCGAACCGGAAAGCATCAACACAATCCCTCCACCGGAACCGGTGGTTCGATCATTACGTGATGAAAGAGAAAGTTAGGGTTAGAAAAGCAACTCATTCCTCGCTATTCAATACCGAGAACGGGAAAATACCAACCGGCCCCATCGAACAGACTAAGGCATGCGATGATAACAAGGCGAAATATGAAGCTGATATACAGAAGACAGCCCATCACTCGCGATTTCACGACAAGGGCCGGAAACCACCCACAGACTTTATCGACCCGAAGAAGGAAGCTTACGGGCAGCCTGGGCCCACGACGATGATACTCATGATGTGCACTACATTGGTTATTTTTGCTGTGGCAACGCTTTCTTTGTTGGCAACTTGTAGCTATCTTCTGGGGCTTCTTTTTCAATCTCTCGTACCGCTGTTAAGCGGTCCGGCATGGCATTTGGACACTCTTTCGCCCGCTTCTTATACCCTGCAATTTTTGTTGGAAGCTTGCAACTATCTTCTGGCGCTTCTTTTTTATTCTCTCGTATGGCTGTTGGACGATCTGGTATGGCAATTCGACACTCTTTCGACCGATTTATATACCCTGGGGCGATCCTGGTTCTGTCTGGGGCGATTCTTGTTCTGGCTGTTTATTTGTTCTTGTTTGGCCGATCTCAAGGCACCTATAGCTGGTCCCCCCACCCGATTGTAGTCTCAAAGTATCGTCACTCGATGTCTTAGGTACAGTAACAGAGGGGAAAGCCATATCTTTTCTATTTCTAAGAGAAAGAATAGTCCCGAAACCTGTTTTTAAGAAATGCCTTAAACCCCATGATCCCATATCTTATTGCTATGTTTTGGTTCAGCCCATTCACATTAGACCTTCGCTCTTTAAAGCAAGCTTTTAATATTAACTACAAGGTGAGTAAATCCTCGTCAAGGCGGACGAAACAGAGAAGGTTTTGGCCCTATATACTTACCCTGATAGGACTGAATGGTGCTGACTAGGTTGCTCCCAAAAAGGTCATCGATAACGTTAACGTTCTTACCATTAAGGAGTGGCTCCTCCCAAAGTTACCTCTTTTTCACAAAGGTAGTTTGTAATCCAGCCGACAAGAGTGTGGATTTAATTGCTTCAGAGAATTCCGGGTCTTCTGATGAGCGCTTGCGGGTGTAGAGGAAGCTTGATATGCTGGAAAATAGCATCCAGAAACCTAGGCAGGTCAAGAAGTAGCGTCTTCCACTATAGTCTCGAAGTAGGATCAAGATTTTACACTTCAGACACTTGTAATAGTCAATTGCAATAGTCAACAAGGATGGTTATCTTAGTGAGCCCCAAGACTGACAGTTTCATGTCAAAAAGTTACGCTGCTTTCAGAAGTCTCAGATTTCAGTACTCATGTGCCCACTCCGTAATGACTTTGCCATCTGAGCCGGAATAATATCGCTTCCTCAGTCCTTTCCCGAGAAATGCAGCTTTCTCATGGATAAGCCTTGTCATCGCTGCGTCGTCGGCGTCTGGAATAGTAAGAATCTCTGCTCCCTCCATGGCACTGCCCTTCAGAGTTCTAACCTGATCCAACGCAGACTCAGGACACATGATGACATGTTTCGTCACCATGCCCATCAAAGGACAATTTTCCAACGGATAAGGATTTGAAAGAAGATGGGGAGGCACTCCAAGGCTGCCAAAGATCGATTCAAGGAAGTTGGCCAACTCCCCGGCAACACATGCCTCGTGAAGCCTCATCTCGTCCTCGCCCCGTTCAAAGTACTCCCGGTACATTTCTCGAAGCTGAATCCGATGGCGTACATCTTCGCAATTCATGAATCCGTAATCCACGATTACCGCCCGGAACGGATCAGCCACGTTCATACGTGTGAATCGCTTAAGTTCCCACACACTTTGATGCCGTCTAAGTACCATGGCCATTAAGATTTTAAAGTTGCGCATATTCGAGATTTGGTCCGCAAGCCCATATTTGCCAAACAATTCCACTATTCTAGACTCTGACATGGCATTCCAGAACTCGTCGAACGAGCATCGCTCGACAAGCAACCCATATGCGGAAGCAAGTCGCTGTTCCGAGTCAGGATCGGCCGCCGTGCAAAACCCCAATGAGATCCAGAGGTCCTCACTCACATCCGGCATGAATCCATTGCAGATCTGGGCGTAGAAGATGAGGGCTTGTCGCTTTTCAGGAGGCTGAAGTTCAACGAGCGGTAGTTTTCTATCCTCAGGACTTAAGAATTGTTTTCGAGCCGCATCGAAGCGAGCGGTAGTTCCCGGTCCTTTGCCGTTAGCTCTGAATACCTCGTTGCTCTCTAGCCACTTCATATCGCTCAGCATGGCTGGATCTCCGGTTTGAGAGCATCGGATCGTAAGCATCTCCTTCAGCCTGTTCAGTTCCACCGCGCTTCGCAGCTCTTCCTCGTCAACCTTCCACTCTGTTATCAGCCGGCGGTAAAGCTCAAAGAGCCTCCATCGACAATATCCGGAGGTGAAGCACAAAAAGCCATATTGCTTGATCACATCATCTTCCTGGGGAAATTGGTTCGTGTGACAAGCAAGAACTAAATAGTCCGTAGGATCTGTCGGTCTTCCTAAGCGGCAGGAAAATTTGTGTCGATACCAGTCAGAGCTGTGGCAATCAAGGTCACAGTAGGTGGCAACCCCACACTTCTTACAACTATGGGCGAGTTCCAAGCTTTTCTTGCAGAAGCCGCAGGCGGCTGGAGTAGCGTCCTCGCTTTTGGGACCTCTGGCAATAACCCTCGGCATATCTGTGATATCCCATGTAGCTTCGGAGGTGACAATGCTGATCTCGCCCCTAACAGGCGAATTGGCCCGCGTCAGTAATTATAGCATGTACCAGAGAAAAGCTCACAGCCAAACCCGACAACGTACTTGGCTTCTATGTTGCGCTTGTGAGACATGGTAAACCACTCTGCCTCCCTCGCTAGAAGTCTTGGATCCTCAACCACGCTATTAAAGATGGTCTGCGTCCTTGCATAAGCGGGCGGAACTGCGGCTGCAATCATTGATTCCTTCTCTGCATCACTGTGAGACGCTTCATCCATACTCCGAAGACTATCCCTTATACATTGAACAGCTTTGCTCAATTTCTTGGCGTCCTCCGAGTTGATCCAGAGTACAGAGGGGAGTGTCCATTGAGAGTAACACTTCCCATGATTTCCTCGAGTTTCAAAATAGCCCATTTCCCGAAGCATATGACCGCAGAGAAGGCATGTCTTCTTGCTGATCCCGAGATAAGGGAAAACATCTGTCCTAGGGATCCCAGAACTAAGATATGCCATCAGCATCATCTCAGCATGGACGTGCTTGCGTTTACTGAATAATTTGCCAAATCTGGGCTCTAGGCGTGTTGCGGCCGGAAACTCTTCCTCAGACAAGTGCCATTGCTCAACCTTCCTTGGTGGAAGACTATCCAACAAGGTAATCTTGATGTTACGAAAACCAGAGCATTGCTGAGCTACATGAACAAACGCCTGTGCGCCTCGCATCGGCCTGCGGATAAACGCCAATTCTTCCACGACACGACGAAGCTTCTTTGGTGTCAGGTTGGCCTTTAGTTTGGCGTAGAAGTCTGTGTCATGCGATAGGTGCTCGACATGATTAGCAAACTGAGAAACAGCCTGTTGGCCGGAAGCAACTCCACCACACCCGTCGTCGTCTTTGAAGAAGTTCAATCCCGTCTTTCCTCCCTCGATAGACATTGCTTCTTTGGCGTGGTGCCGAATTCTTTGGCTATAATATTCCACCAAGATGCTCCGGAGCGCCGGGAGCGGGTCTGACTCGAAAATATCTGTGCCAGGAGTTGGTTAAATTAAAAGGCGTAGCAACTTGCTGGAACGGACACAAACCGTCAGAAGAAATTCGCTCGAGGAGTGCGGCCAAGTATTCGAGCATCATGACGTCCTTGTCTGACCAAGTTTTCCCGTTCGTAGGTGAGTTCCGAGCAGCTACGATAGTCACCTCCTCGTCATTGTAAAGTAACGCCGTGCTAGTGATCAGTGAAGGCTCTTTGCTGTGGCAGAGGAGCTCCGCAAGTCGGTCGAGAAAGCCTTTTTTAATTCTGGCATCGCCATCCAGGGATGCTGGGGCGAGAAGATTGGTACACTCTTCATCGTCAATGGACTCATCGAGATCGTCTTCGCCATCCTTGGTTGAAGACAGGGGTTCCCTCTGCAGTTGCTGGATCTGACGCCAGGCTGCCAAAGTGGTTATCTCGGACTCTGCATCGAGATGGAAGCGCCATTCGGTAGCGTCGCTAGAGTTTGGGGCCGATGAGAATGCAGAAACAACACTGACAAGGGTCATTTTGACTAAATCAACAGATGTTATCTAAGATTAGCATCGTTCAGAGCGGTTAGCACTGAACATTTAGTCGCACTGGATTAGGCTGTTACCATAGAGAGGAGTATAAGGTGCGGGGGTTGACACTATCTTCTATGGCCCGGTGATTGGTGTTCTACAAGCAATCTTCCATCTACTTTCATCATTCGCTATTGGTCCACTTCTATGGGCGAACTCGAATACGGCCATTTCCAAGAACGTTGATTGGCCTTATCTAGAGCAGCTGTAGTAGCAGTAGACCCATTCAGCAGCACATTGTTGCCATCAGCATACGCTGCTCATCCAGGTGCGGCGCTATGTTCAAGACCTGCACGTCAACGCCAACTTTGACGGATGTATGAAGAGGGCATATCTATAAATGAATGTCCAAACAGTGATTATGCTACACTAGTTAGTCATTAAACGAACTGTAACAGTACCTATAAAGTACAAACACGGCAGGGGTGTTGCTGTAAGTCACAATCCAACTAGAAACGGATTCTTCTTATCATCTTTATTTAGCTAATCCGCGACACCCATTTCGCCTTCAACTGTATGCCACAGGCTTGTTTAATAGAGTACTTGCGGAATTTAGTTTTACCGTTTGCAAATACCCATCAAGTGGAGCCCAGCTGTTATGGATGCTACCATTAGAATGCGGAGTAGCATCTCGACCCTATAGTCAACTTCCATACAGTGAGTCTATAAGAAACACCGTATATGTGAAAATTTTCTATATATATACACTATGAATTCCATACCGGCGGAAATGTGAGTTAAAGTAATGTAGGATATGAATATTAAAGGCTAATACCTACACATAGCATTGCTTCATCATCCCCATTCCGATTTCTAGTGGGCCCTAATCAGCGGGAATTTATCATATATTCAGCTCTCTTTGCACACCAGTCCCCTGTTTTTGAGAAATTAGTAAACGGTAATTTCTCTGAATCAACAGAAAAGTGTGTTCAATGGAAATCCGTGGATGAAGATACTTTCATTTGTTTCTGGCAGTATACGCATACTGGGAGATACACTGCTGCTTCTCCGGTTATTGGACTAAAATCAGAATCCGAAGCCACTTGTGAGCCACCACCACCGAGTCCGCCATCACCAACCTTTGCAGCCTTCTTTGGTACTACGGCTGCTAAGAAAGACGAGACTCCTCCAAAAGAACTTACAAAACGTGAGATTCAGTGGAATGAATTTAGAAAACAGCGAGCTTCTGTCAATTTTGGCGCGTTTCGTTCTACTGGTGGTCTCTTTGGTTCACGTGTCAGAAGCAACTACGCGCATGAAGTGTCACGACCCAACAACTTATGGTCATGATAAATGAACCTACAGGGTATACACAACAGAGAAACCTTTGGCTAATGTAGCTAATTAGGATTATATTTACTTTAAGAAAGTAAACACTAGTGAATAGATTCCTAATACAAATAATATTTACTTTGGAAAAATAAACACTAGTAAATAATAAGATATATATATACTTCTTACACTTACTTAAAGATAGTTTTAAATAGCTAGTTGTTAATATAAAATTAAGATTATAACACGCTTTGCACTTCTATTATCTAGTGATATTATTTACTATTACTTATATTACCTATTAGGTTTCCTAACTGCTTTGCTAATATAAACCTAGAATTATTTACTAGGTTTATCCCTTAGGAATCTACCCTATATTAATTATCTAGTGTATAGTTTATTATATATTAATAACTCTTATTTAAATGATTATTAAACCTTATAGGTAATATAAAATAAAAGATATAAATATTAACTTTTAATATTCTAGAATATAACATTAATTATAAGAGCTAAGCTTTAAGTAATTATTAGTTAAATAATATTATTAAATTTAAAGATATATTAATAAAGATAGCCTATAATTAGTAAAATATTCTAATAAAAGCTCTTAAATAAGAATATAAATAATATAAGCAATAAGAATAAAGCGCTAGAACTTATATAAAAAATATAAAATATATAATCTAAGACTTATATATATAATAGTAAGCGGATTAATAAATTATTAATAACCTATAATAATAACTTAGTAACTTACTAGGGGTGGCTCCCTAGGTGACATCTGTTATAGCACCTATAGTAGTATTAGCTATCCCTGCAGATAATAAACTGGAACTAGGAAAAGTCTTAAAAATTAAATAACTAGAGAAGTTTAATAAAGATACTATTAAACTTTACTAATTCCTTAATAAACTATAAATTTACTTTAAGTACTACTACCTAAAGACATTCCTAGAAGATAATTTAAAAAAATAAATCTAATATATAGGAATATGTATTAAGAATGCAGTAGCTAATTAGTTTAAAATACTTTTTAAAAATAAGAAAAATAACCTAGCTTAGTAAAGTAAACTTATAAAGGAAGTCTTTAAAGGATATAAAAACCTTAAAGAATAACTAAAAAGATTCTTTAGAATTACTAATAAAGCTTAAGAGGTAGAAAAGAAACTTAAAAACCTTAAGCAAAAAGGACTATACTATAAACATACTTTAACCTTTATTTAGCTACTTAGTAAAGTTAACTAAACTAAGGAATTAAAAAAGAAGATATACTATTATAGCCTAAAGTTAAAAGTTAAAAATAAAATCTATAAAACTAATTAATAAAAAACTATATTTATTATATTTACCTAAGAAGTTATTATAATTAATAACTAATAATAGGAATAAAAGCAGGAATAAAAAGATAAGAAGAATAGCTAAACTACTAAATATTAACCTTAAGCTAATTAAGGAAAAAAATAAGAAGACTATATTACTAAAGATAATAAAACTTAACTAAGAAGAATAAATATTAATACCTTAAACTACTAAAAGTTTAATAGAATTTATAACACTTATAGTAAGAAAGGCTATAAGAAAGCAGACTGCTAATCTAAAATAACCTATAGATTTTATAGTAAGAAAGGCTATAATAAAAGCTATTATTATACTAAGAAAAATAGAAAAAAACCTAAGACTACTAAGGATAAGATTTAGATAAATATTATTATAAAAGTACCATATGCCTACCTAAGTTAAATAATATGCTATAATAACTTATATCTTATATATAAAAGCAGTAAGGATAGATTAGGGTACTACCTAAAGAAACTATAAGCTAAGAAAACTTATAAGATAGTAAGAATTAATACTTTTAATTTTTGTAACTAAGTCTTAAGTAAGAAGAAAGACTTAGACTAGGATAAGGATTATAAGTATTATAGAGCTTATAAACTATAATATAAATGTAATACTAAAACTCTTAAGCTTTATAATATTTACAATTATAATATTTATAGTTCTTAAAACCTAGATTATAAATGCTATAGATGCTTAAATTATAAATTTATAAAAGAATTCTAATATACCTGCGAAGGTAAATAGTAATAGAATATAAAAGCTATATGTAAACTCTTTAAAGAAGAAGATAAACTTGCTAAAGATTACTTTAAAATATAAGTAAAAAAGGAATGCTAAGTAATACTATATAAAATCTCTAATATACTTAATATATTTAAAATACTTATAAATAAATACACTTACTAATATAAACTTTATGAATCCTAGGACCTTAATTATAACTATAATAAATATAGCATCTGCAGCTTATAGGACTTATAATATAACTATAGTAAAGTCTTAGATACCCTAGTTAAGGAATATTACTAACAGAAAGAATAATAATAGTACCTAAAGGAACACCCTCTAGTATAAAAAAACCTTATTAACTATAATTTATTATATATTATCCTGCTAAAATCTTATTACCTATTAAATAATAGATATATAGAAAACCTAAGATTTAATAAGCACTATGGAAATAATAATTAAACACTATATAATACCCTTTACTATAGAATATATGCTTTTAATAAACTTAAAGACTAGTATAAAATATAAAATTACTATTTATAAAATTTAAAATACTAGAAGAACTACTTTCTTAACTATAATATATAGGATTACTTAAAACATTAGTAAGAAAAGAACTAGTATTATTAGACTACCTAAAGGCTAGTATAAAAAGGCTATAACTTTAAAATATACACTTGCAGTAGAAAATAAAATAAAGCCTTAATTAAAAGATACTATTATATAATTTAAGACTAAATCTAAGATATAAGATGTAAGTGGTATATAAAATATTAAAATATTATATAAGATTAAACTTATTTAAATAACATTTAAATTAACTTAACTAAATATAATAATAAAAAACTATTAGTTAAAGGGTATATTAACTAATAACTAGTTATAATTTATATAAACAGTAGTGCGGATTATAACCTTATTACCCTTAACTTAATAGCTAAACTTTAGCTACTAAGTATTATTAAAAAAATACTATTTTATATTTTAAGTATTATACACCTAGAATATAAAATAATTATTAAATATAAGATTAATTACCTTCCCTTAATAATTGCTAAATACCTTAAGGATATTAAGTGTAATATTATAAGCCTTAATATTTATAATATTATACTAGGACACCTATAGTTAAAATAAAGTAATTTACTAATTAATTAGAAAATAAAATAAATACTTTAGGAATAAGATATTACTTAGGAGCTATAACTAAGCTATAAAAAGGGCAAGGAAGGTAAAGATGCGCCTTTAGACCTAAAAATAAAATCTCCTGTGTAATAAAATAAAGGAAATATAAAAAAAAAAATAAAACCTAAGAAAAAGGTTTAATTTAATATAAAAAAATTACTAGTATTACTATAATATAACTATAAAAGAATTAAAGGAGAATAAGTATATATTAACTAAGTTATTATATAAGTTAAAATAAAATTATAAGCTTTAGATAAAGTATTATTAAAAGTAAAAAAAAAAGAGAAAAATAAAGAACTAGAAGATATTCTTTAAAAAGCACCTTAATAATACTAAAGGAAATATAAGAAACTATTTAGCTTAATATTAGAAATAGTATAGCTATTTTATTTATAATAGGATTATTATATAAATCTTATAGATAGAAAAATAATAAAATTCTTTTTAATTTATAATCTTAGTAAAGTAGAACTTAAAATACTTTAGGAATAGATATAAGAATAGCTAGAAAAAGGATATATTAAATTATTTATCTTATAAGCTGGATACCCTATTATATTTATACTAAAGAAAAATAGGAAACTTAAACTAGTTATTAATTATAAATAGCTAAATAAGATTATTATTAAAAATTAAACCTTATTACTACTTATTATAGAAATATAAGACTGCTTAACTAATATAAATTAGTTTACTATCTTAGATCTTAAGGGAGTGTATAATTTAATTTATATTTGCAAAAGGGATAAATAGAAAATAGTATTTAAAATATATTATAGATTATTTAAATACTTAGTAATACTATTTGGGCTAACTAATATATTAGTAATCTTTTAATAAATAATTAATTATATATTATAAATATATATTAATAACTTTATGATTATATACCTTAATAATATTTTTATTTTCTTAAAAACCCTTAAAGAACATAAGGAATATGTTTATAAGGTATTATAAATACTATAAGATACTAATCTATTAGTAAAGCTTAAAAAATACAGCTTTTATATTTAAGAAGTTAAATTCCTAGAACACTTAATTTTACTAGAATAAGTTTAAATAAATCCTAATAAGCTTAAAGTAATCTAAGAATAAGAACTACTAGAAATTTAAAAAGGAATATAAAGCTTCTTAAGCTTAGTAAACTACTATTAAAGGTTTATTAAGAATTATAGTAAAATTGCTAAACTACTTACTAATATTACTTAATTTAAAGAAGATAAAAAAGGCAAGAAAAAATAAAAGAATAGGAAACTTATATATAAACTAAAAATAAAAGTAGTATTTAAATAACTTAAAAATACACTCCTTAGTAAACCTATACTTATTATATATAACCCTAATAAACTATTAGAAATTAAAACTAACTTATTAAACTTTGCTATTAAAGGAGTACTAATATAAAAAGATAGAAATAGGAAAAATTATTTAGTAGTATTCTTCTTTTAAAAACTATATAAACTAAAATTAAGATATTTTATTTATAATAAAGAATTTATAGTAATTCTTAAAGTATTTAAAAAATAAAAACATTATTATTTAAGAAGTAAATATAAAGTTAAAGTATATATAGATTATTATAATATTATATACTTTACTTAGATATAAAAACTCTTTATATAATAAATATAATATCTTAAGATACTTTTAAACTTTAACTATAAACTTGTTCATATTAATAGCACTACTAATAAATAAGTAAATATATTAAGTAAAAAAGAAGAATATTTTAAAGAAATTCTAGAAATTAAAGCTTAAGTACTAAGAA